TATGCTAGAGATTTACGCTTGTGGGTGTGTCGGAGAGGAAAAAGACGAGAAAGAGAGAGAGACACAGAGAGATAGAGAGAAAGAGAGAACGCGACAGGCCGCGCACTGGGACCAACACAAGCCTCCGCTCTCCATCGAAGTATCGTTTTGGTCCGAACGAAGTCCAACAATGTACACTACCCAAGGTATATCACGGGAGGTTTCTTCGGTAGCGTATGCAATTACCAAATAAGTGATCGATGCTGACCCGACCCGACCTTTGCCTTTGAGTTGCCTCGCCTTAAGGTGCCTTAGCCCAGCCGCGCCAGTACATTAGACTCACCTTTCTAAACATACAGACTCCCGGGATAGACGGGAGGTGAGATCTGGTATGTACAGGTACATGCCGCACACGCTGTTACTGGCCCGTCAGAGAACACAAGGCACGTATCTTTTCTTCTGCCGGCCTGCGACGGATCATTCCAAGTCTTGGGGGGAACCACCACCACCACCACCACCACCACCACAAGCCGGTGGTGCACACGCTCCACCCTGCCACCTAGGTTCCATTCCTTTTCGGCAGGCGAAGCAGACAATCCCAGCTTCGGCGCCGGATCAACGTCGGGTTGCCTTTTTGACGACATGCGATAGCCCCTCGTGACCTTCCCTAACACTGAAAGTTCTCGCGAGAAAGAGAGGTGGAGAGATAAGACGCAACGTCTGTGACATTTCAGTTTGCCATTAGAGACCACTTATCGCCTTCTGTCCAGCAACATAAATGCTATCGGCCGCGACCATCTTGTGCCGAGCCTCTGTTAGATCAAACAAGAACCCCGCCATCGCAGCCATCGCTGCCGTCGCCGTCCTTCGACCCTTCCAGACCCGAGCTCGATTCTCGACATCCACCAGCACAATGGCTCCTCCCGCTGCCGCGCTCGACTTTGTCGACTTTGTCAATGCCTCTCCCACTCGTAAGCATTATCGGCATTGTGTGCGCGCGCATCTTTGTTCCTCGCTAACTGTGCCCCCCGCCCACAGCATACCACGCCTGCGCGACCGCCGCCGCCCGCCTCGAAAAGGCCGGCTTCACAAAGATCAAGGAGCGCGACTCGTGGAACTCGGCGCTGCGTCCCGGCGGAAAGTACTACCTCACCCGCAATGGCTCGTCCATCGTCGCCTTCGCCATTGGCAACAAGTGGAAGCCCGGCAACCCGGTCGCCATGATCGGCGCCCACACCGACTCCCCCACCCTGCGCATCAAGCCCGTCTCCAAGAAGAGCAACGTCGGGTTCTTGCAGGTCGGCGTTGAGACCTACGGCGGCGGTATCTGGCACAGCTGGTTCGACCGTGATCTCAGCATCGCCGGCCGCGTCCTCGTCAAGGACGCCGAGGGCAACTTTGTCCAGAAGCTGATCAAGGTCGACAAGCCGCTACTGCGCATCCCGACTCTGGCCATCCACCTTGACAGGAGCTCCACCTTTGACCCGAACAAGGAGAACGAGCTGTTTCCCATCGCCGGACTGGCCACGGCGGAGCTGAACAAGAGCAGTGCGAAGCCCGAGACTGCTGTTGAAGGCGAGGAGGCGGAGGAGGATTTCAAGCCGCTCAAGGCCATGACTGAGCGTCATCACCCTCACATTCTCGACGTGATCGCCTCTCACGCTGAGGTCGAGCCCGAAGCCGTAATTGATTTCGAGCTCGTCCTGTACGACGTGCAAAAGTCCTGCCTCGGTGGCCTCAACGACGAGTTCATCTTCTCGGCCCGCCTCGACAACCTCAACATGACGTACTGCTCCATCGAGGGCCTCATCGCCTCGGTCCGCGCGGCCGACGTCCTCGAAAACGACTCCACCATCCGCCTCGTGACCTGCTTCGACCACGAGGAGATCGGGTCCACCTCGGCCCACGGCGCCAACTCGAACCTCCTCCCCGCGGTCCTCCGCCGCCTCGCCTCTCTCCCTGGAAGCCGCGACACGGCCTCGGACGGATCGTACGTGGCGGTATCCTCACACGACGGCGGCGACTACGAGTCGACGGCATACGAGCAGACGCTCTCGCGTTCGTTCCTCGTGTCGGCCGATATGGCGCACTCGGTGCACCCCAACTACGCGGGCAAGTACGAGTCGAGCCACCAGCCGGCCATGAACGGCGGCACCGTCATCAAGGTCAACGCCAATCAGCGGTACGCGACCAACTCGCCCGGCATCGTGCTCCTCCAGGAGTGTGCGCGCCTCGCGGGCGTCCCGCTGCAGCTCTTTGTCGTCCGCAACGACTCGCCGTGCGGCAGCACCATCGGCCCCATGCTCAGCGCCAAGCTTGGCGTCCGGACGCTGGACTTGGGTAACCCGCAGCTCAGTATGCACTCTATTCGCGAGACAGGAGGCAGCGCGGATGTAGAGCACGCGATTAAGCTATTTGAGAGCTTTTATGAGCGGTTTGGCGAGCTGGAGGAGAAGATTCTTGTTGATTAGAAAGCTGTGGATGTTGTATCGAGTTTGCAAAGTGGCTCTGGCCAGAGGGTATAGTTGTAGTAAGTTGTAGCAGTAGTCGCGAATACCTTGGAGCTGTCGGGTGACGAGAATACGATGTGAATTGAGTAACCGCTTCACTGGCGTTGGAACTATGATGCTGGGGCTGTGAAGATAAATGTTACGTTTCGAGCACGAGATATTGGTTGAGGAGTACCTCCCTTAAGGTGACCAAGATACGAGCCAGGAAGTGGTGGCTCGGCGCTCGTGCCTACGTCCTTCCGTCTCTCATCCGGAGACGGGACTTGGAACTTCACCGCGTCCAACTCCCGGCTTCCATTTGTCTTGTTGGCAGCCTTTCATACGTTCAGGATCTCCAGCGGAACCCTTCTTTGACGTGTCCTTCCCCGGGCCCCCAACTCCCCGATTCCATCCAGTCAGACAACCTAATCATCTTGACATCATCTGGGGTCCTTATCAGCTCCAATTCGACTCTGAAAAGAATCTTACTTGACGATATCTAGAATCCAACTTTACCTCTCTACCTCCACATTATGGGTGGGCACCTTCCTCTCCGATCGTTTACTCATTCCTTCCTTTCGATATCATGACCGACCCGCCCCGCCCTTCTCGCACCCCGGTTAGACTGGACAGCCAGTCTTGCTCGACCTGGGTATTTAAGACAACCTGTTATTTTTGAAGCCTCTTCTCATCCTCATCCCTTCCTTTGACTATACCCAAGGCGTCGATCCCGAGCGACTTTGACCCCGGCTTGACCTAAGTTGAACCTCAACCTGACTTCGACTCAATCTGGCTTTGACTTCGCCGACCCGGGTCATCGAATTCGAAACGCTTCGCCGCGATTCGATAAATATACCTCGACGGACACCTCCGGCTGAGGCTCTCACGATACATCTCCTGGGTTCTTACCAAAGATTCGTGATCTTTCATTGCATCTTCATCTCAATTCTGTATTGTCTTTCCGACACCTGAGGTAGGGCATATCTCTGCTGGCGATCATTACACGGGAAGATCGCCTCCACGTTTTGTGAATTTCACCTGCCATCCTGATTCTTCGACGTATTTGGCATGTTCTGAAAAACCCACTTCGAAATCTTGATACCGGCCCTTTCTGTCTCCAAGTTCGCCTTAGCTTCCATTTCAGATTGGAATTATTCCCAGCCAAAGCTTATTCAGGTTCTTGACTCCTTCCTCCTCTGCTCTGTCGCCTTCCCTTCACCATCACTCTCCCGGCGATTCGCCCATTGGCAGAACCTACACTCTCTCCTGACTCGATCGAATCACTTCAAAGAACAACACAAGTACCTTCCTCCTCCGAGTCTCTTTTTCCATTACTCCCACCAACAACACCATTGCCTTCCATAGCCCGGTACTACATATTCCGTTCTCTTCATCTGCCTGGGTCGACACCAAGTCAACCTGATCCACAAGTGGCTTCGAAGGCGCTGACTCAACTTCTAGTTCTGGACTTTTGGTAACAAAACAAGGGAATTTTCAGGGAAGAGCGTCTAGGCGACTCCTTCGACCGAGAGTCCCCTTTCCGGTGAGTACAAGATCAGCCCCGATTTTCAACAACACGACCAAACCTGCTCCTCAGCAACATCACGCTAGAGACTTCGGGATTTCCAAGCAGAACCTACCCTCACATTATTGGATATATCCATGCGATCGGCCGGTACACATCTAATTTTGCCAGGTGCAGAGGGCCAAGCAAAACTCAAGCGATCCTTCGATTTGGTGAGTTCACCCGTACTCGCACTTTCCCCTCTTTGAGGCTCCTCCACCTTCACCTTCAATACTAAGCACCTTCCAAACCTAATCCCAATCACTTTTCCCTTTCAACAGCACTGAATTATTCCAACATCATCTTTTCTATCCAAGGCAATTGGATCCTTACCTCTAAGCTTGCTTCAACCATTGTTCAGTCACTATCTTGACGAACTTTCCACATCTTCCAAGACTTTGCAGACAGACCCCTAAAACCTCGACTCCTGCTGAACTTTAAGCATACAACCCGTGGAAGCCCGGAAATATCGCAGAGATTCCACCGGAGCCTGGAACTACAGTCTCTTAGGAAAAATATCCGATCGCACCTTCCATCGAGCACAACAGGAAGGAAGTACGGCATCTTTCTCGGTCTCAAACGTCGTCTTGCGTATTCACTTCACCTCAAAGAACAGCCCAGGCACCTTGCAACCTCGCAGATCTCTCTCCCACTTTTGAAGATGGTCGTCTACGTTACTTAATTCGGCACCTTCACTTCTACCGTCGACTACCTCTTCAACGGTCTTTCTTTGACCATACCCAGAAACCAGTCTGACGATCTTGCCGACACAACACTTCATTTCCTGTCCGTATCGAAACTTCCGTCTTTGACCTCAATAAAGACGGTCACTCATACGTTAGTTACCGGAAATATCCCATCATCTAATCAAGACTATCATCCAAGAAGATCAAGTAAGGCCACTTATTTCCCTTTGTAATTTAAAGAAATTCACTAATCTGTCATGTGAGCTAGTCATCACTGCCAAGATGTGCCAGAACGTCTTCTACACCTATGCGTGCCAGCATGTGGAGTGCGTTACCTATGACTGCACCAAGGGTCGCAAATCCATAGGATCTGGCTGCATCCATCGCCAGCCATCCCAGCATACCAGCCTCACGGATCAGCTCTGTCATGACTGCAGCGAGATGGCTCGCAAAATGAGGCAGCGTCGCCTCGATGCCAAAGCTATGAGACACATTCGGGACCAGACCCACCGACGCAATGAGATGATGGCACAGGCTCAGTTGCAGGGCTCCATGAATCAGCAGCAGTCTTCTCAGAATCAACAAAGTCAACAGACTCAACAGGCCCAGCAGCCGCAGAGTCGTCAAGATCAACAGTCAATCTCACCCAATGGGAAGACTGTTCGCCCCCTGGAGTCGAACAAGCTGGCCAACATGGACCCCGATTGCGACTCTGAGCTTGGCCTGCCTCCTCATAGGCTGTATCAGCTCCATGTGGCAGAAGACCTGTGGCACTCGTTCACGCGCAGCAGCATGCAGTAAAGGAAGAGATAATGGGGCAGGCTTTTGAGAAAGGCTTGAGGCCTTGACGAGATGGGCATCTTTGGAGGCGACAAGACCATGCTACTAGTACACCGTGCCGGTGAGGGTAAATTGCGGTTCGGTTTGGGAATGAGAACGGCATATCCTAATTAAGGGCACAAAGTCATCTAGGAAGAGACCACCAGCGATTGCCTCTACCAACGATACCACAGATATACTGACTTCATGGTCTTTCATATGTTTCCATGCTAAATGTTGTTTAAGAGTCGACAACAAAAGGTTTCACTAGCCAAAGGACCAAAGAAAAGCCAGACTGGGACTGCTAATCCGATGATGTGAAGTTCGCACATCTTGGCGGCTCCGAGGAGCTGGTTCTAGGGAGGAAGGAGAAAAATGGGTAAAAATGGCCAACGCAGCCAGTGAGAAGAAGAAGAGCAGGGGTCTTTGGATCAACCAACGAACCTCCCCCAGCTGAGCTCTGACAGCTTTAGGTTGCCTGCCCCGTGCCCCAGCTGAGCTTACTTGCACTAACACACGTGGAGAGGCTCCAGACCAGCACTCGAGCTGAGGCAACTGACGTTGCCCCCCTCCACTCCGAACTTGGCAAGGCCATCTGGCCAACTCTTTTTTTTCCGCGTCCCAACGTCATCGTTCGTCCACACCACTGCTCACCCAGCCCACGCTACGCAACTGAGCCTCCAGTCAGCCATGGTTCTCTGACGATTAATACGTAAACTCATCAGATCGAATCCTCCCCTAATACCTCGGACCTATCCCCAGCCAGTTGCAGGGAACGTCTCCCCGCCAAGACCGCCGTCAGATTCGCCAACATGGCTCCCCCCTTCGAGACTGCGAAGCTCTCCCTCGACTACCTCCCCTATGCCTGCGAATTCGACCCTCAAGATGCGAATCGGCTCCTCATCGGCGGTGGAGGTGGTGCTAACCGGAGCGGCGTCGCCAACAAGATTGTTCGTCATCCCCTCGCTCTGAAATCTCCCCACCTTCCTGCCTTCGTGCGACTGACCTTGTACGCCGCAGACAGTGATCGACACCTCGGCCAAGGATGAACTGCGCATCAGTGGCGAGGCCGACCTCAGCCGTAATGAGGACAGCGTCATGACCCTCGCCGCCGGTCCCAAGAAGGGCAGGACGAGCTACCTCTACGCCGGCATCAACTCGAGCCCCGCCGAGGTCGAGAAGGGCAAGAACGAGCACTTCCGCGCCTTCGGCATCGAGCAGAGCAAGGCGCGCGTCTCGGCCGGAGCCAACGCCCCAAGTGTGAGCCTGGCTGAGCTCTCGCGCACCTCCATCTTCGCCTACAACGAGGTCGACAAAGATGCGTACCAACGCGTCCTCCGGCTCTCTGCGCCGTACGGCGAGAAGCAGCTCGGCGTCGTGGCGACGGGTTTGGCCAAGCAGTCCCAGATTGCGATTTTTGAGATCTCATCTGGGAGTGCTACCAAGCCCAAGATCCTCGGACAGTTGGACGTTTCCAAGGAACCCGTGGACGTGGACGTCATTCAGACTGGGGACGACTCGTACCAGGTCGCATATTGCGACGAGCGCGAGTTGTTCGTCATCAATGTCACAAAGTCTGAGATTGACGGTCCTCACCATGCCTTTGAAATCAAGGAGGACAGCGCTGGCACCTGGGCCAATTTCCGGTCAATCCGGTATCTCTCTAAAGACTTTGTATTGGCAGGTACCAACATCCCCAAGCGGGCTGGTGCAATCCTCCTCGGAATCCGATTGCCAATTAAGGAGGACGAGCCTGGGCGCTTGGCGGCGTCGGTCAAGCTGCCTCGCGCAGTGAACCAAGTGACAACCATTGCTGCGCGGAATCTCACTCCGCCTTCGGCTCCTGGTGCCAAAATCGGCAATGCGCAATTCCTTGTCGCTGCGGTTGGTCAGGATCGGTCGATATCACTCTTCACGCTCGAGCATATGGCGCATTCGAGCATAGACCTGCTCGTCGACTTTGATCTGCTCACGACGTTGAAGGATGTGCATCCTCTGCAGATCACAAACGTCGCCCTCTCGCACTACATTCCACCCAAGACCACTGCCCGCCCTCAATACATCAAATTGGCGAGTATCTCGATGAAGAATACGGTTATCGTGCACTCCATTCTTCTGAAAAAGTTCACCGACAGAGACGCCCCCATCCGCAAGGGCGGTCCGCCGCGCCCCCAGCGGTATGCGGTTGCCCTCCAACCCCGCAAGTGGTCCAAGACTTGGCTCGCAGCGACGACGGTCCTCGTCCTTGTGCTGGCTATCCTCTTCCAACTCGGCCTCGAAACCATGGGCGCAATTCAACCACGCATCCTTCCCGGTCGCGGCTCCGTCGCGAATGTGCCCAACGAATTCCTCACGTCTATCATCGGCGACGTCCACGCTGTGCAAGGAGACCCGATCGTCATTCGCGAGGACGTCGTTAGCCCCACGCATGTTGAAGAAGACCCCGTCCCCAGATTTCAGGCCGCTGTGCATGATGAGGAGGTATACGGTCCCGCGGTGAGCTGGGAGGACCTGGCGCCGCAGCAGAAGAAGCTCTGGAAGGAGAAGCTCTCCAAGGCGGGCCACTGGACGCAGAACATGGGAGAGAGCGTGTTCAAGGGCGTTTTGTTTGGGGAGATTGCCGGGGCGGTGGGACGCGCTGTAGGAGGTCAATAACGGCGGATATTGATTGAGAGGCAGGAGATATATCATAAGAGTTGTTTACGGGAATGTCGTTGATAGAATTTACCCGGGAGGGCTTGTACGATTTAATCACGAATTTGTACGATTTATTGGAGAATGATTTTGAAGATGGGAGGAGACAATTGAAGAATTTGGTTGTAACACCAGTCACTAGGCTTACTCAGGCCCATCTGCCTCGTAAGGAAATTGTCCATAGGGCAAGGTACCCTCGAGTTCCTTTATTCTTCATCTGGGACTGCTGAAATATTCACAAGCCGACCCCCCTCCCCCCAATCACACGTTATTCATACACGTTGTAATCGAGGTAGTGTGCAATGTTGGTGTGCCCGTTTTCTATGACATGGCGAGATGTATTTGGGGAAGCTGATCATGTGATGACAGTTGTGCGAAGGACTGTTTGGGATGCCGTGTCTTCGTAATAACGGTAGTAAATCGTCTTGGCCATGCTTTTTTAGTGGCCCAGCGCGCATCTTGTCGTTTCAATAGAGCTAGTATGTCGTCCTATCGGGGAGTGGTAATCTTATCTTACGAAGCAATTTACGCAAGACATCTTTGCTCAAAGGTCAAGTTCATTCTTGACAGATTGGTTTCTGTTGAAACTCACCCTCCGAACTACGAAATACCTACTCAAAAACATTAGCAAACTAGAGAAAAGAGTAAGAGTGGTTAAGCGGCGGACTTGAACGGCGCGTCATCGGCGTACCAATCTCCTTGGCCTATCGCACCATCATCATCGGCATTGGCAGCTTACTTTACGGGCTAGAGAGCCACTACTATGGCTGGGACTCTCGATTTAACCTGGAATCCGTCGCCGTGTGACGGGTGTGCATATAATGAAGACTCTAGGGAAGATCATGAAAAGTGTTGCTGGATGAATTTCATTCTGCCCAGCTGACAATAGCACCCATTTTACTCTCCTTTAGCTCTCGATTGAGCTCCACGAGACCTTCTAGCACATTCTCCTATTGCTCCGCTGCGACTTAAGCAACGGATCGTTCTTTGGGGTCAAGAGACAGACAGGATGGGGATGGAGTGGCCCTGGCTGGGTTATTGGTGCCCCTCCCAGAGCTGGAGAAGGAAGAAGACTGGGACAGGCCCGAGGAGCATCAGGGACATGAACTTGAGTATCCTTTTCTCTAGCGGGAGAGCTACAAGCACAGCATAGTAGTCTCGTAGTAGCTGCTACTGAAAGAGATGAGAATAACGACGCCGACCGGGGCGGAGGCGGCAGTAATGAGGGACAATGCTGGGAGGGAGAAAAAGCAATAGCCCCATCCTCCTAGGGCGGAGATCTTAGGTTGCGCCAACGCGAGGACTAGAAGGACGAATCCCGCAGTTGGTGATCATAACTTTGACTCTGCTCGTTTGGTGAAGCCTTTACATATACAGTAGGTCTGCGAAGGGGTCGCTGGCGACGAAGTTGTGAACGTGTTGACGTCCCCAAGGCTTCGTCTCCTTATAGCCAATGCCGCCACATTGAGTCAGTACTTGCCAGTCCTCCTCATTTGAGGTTTATTCCTTTGCTATGTACGGCAAGAGTTTCTATACCGCCTAGCCAGCCGCTGTCAACTAGTTCGACGACGCGAACTAGGACAACGCCCGTTGAACAAACTGAATCACGCTGTCGATGCCACCGATCCAACCCGCAATTGCTTTGCAGTATTTGTAGAATGGCACTGAGAGTACCCAGGTTGATGACTATATCCAGGCTAAGTCATTTTCAATTCAGGAGGCTCTATCGTTGACCGAGATTTGTGTGATGCTTCAATAAGTATTCTTCAATGTCGTTCATCGCCGTGTCTATGCGTACATGTCATACTAGTAGCGCTTCTAATGCCTCGGAAATAAAAACCAACCAAATAACAGAGCTACGCTTCCATGTACGCGCAAGGACGTACACACAAATGAGGAAAATAAAGGCAAAGAGAAAGGACGCTCTTGAATCTAGCTCCGCTCTGCGGCAGAATGACACCCTAATCACTTGTGCTTCGTCTCCGTCGTGCCACTTTCGGTCCCGCTCTCCACACTCGACTCCTTTCTTACAACGTTTGTGGCCTTGTTCTTACCGAATAGAAGCCCGGGGTGTCCAAGGCACAGCGCAAACACAGCGCAGATGATGAGGCTGGGAGGACAAGTCAGCATAAGGCCACCAAGGAGACTGCTTTCATGGGGGAAAAAGAAAACTCACACTCCCTCCAACCCGATAAACAAGCCCTCATTCGTAATCTTGTCAGAGTTCGAGTATCCCTCGCTCAGTTCGTCCACGCGGTACGCGCACCGCGCAAGGATGAGCACGATTGCCAACGCCAGGAACCCGAAAAACGTCTTCTCCCGGCGCGTGAGCTTGCGCGCAACGTCGGACCGCGTGTAGCGGATCATGTAGTCTGCAAAGAGCGAGCAAAAGGTGACGAGGACGACGACCTGGATGACCAACCCCGCCATGGCGAGGTCGACGCCCGTGTCGGAGCTTCCTTTTGAGGTGGTGCTCAGCGCGCCGCCGGCGGCCTGCAGGACGAGGCAGAAGACGTCAAAGGAGATGAAGAGCCAGTAGATGTACTTTGTGGGGATGCGGGAGAGCTCCGGCGCGAAGGATTCGATGCTATGAGGGAGTAGCCGAGTCAGTTTTGATGTGTCTCAAAGTAATGTGGCGGTGCTATATTGGGCCGTCATGCTTGCTTTTCGTCCGGGAGGAAGACTCAAATGCACATATTCTAAGATGATGACGTGCGGTGTAAGAAGGCAAGGGGGTGCGCTGATGAGGCAGCTGTCAAGGAGCCCTCACGGGGAGAAGTAGAAAAAGAGAATGAGAACCGAGAAAAAGCAATGAGCGCGAAACTTGAACTGGAAACCACAATACGAGTCCCAAAAAAATAAAAATAAAACAACACTTACGCTTTTGAAATGGTAACATAGATGGCGGCGGTGTAGTAGACGGGACCGCTCGTGATGAAGACGATTTGGAGCATAAAGGCGATGAACTCGAACGGGTTCTTGTACATGATGATGCGGCCGACGTAGCCGACAATCTCGCTGAGGCAGCCGGCGAGCATGAAGGCCATGAACCACCACTGCCGCCACTTGATGCCGAGAACGACATGTACGGCGCCGGCGAGGGCGAAGAGGGCGAGGAAGAGGATGTTGACGGCGAGGTTTGGGCGGTACTTGTACAGGCTGTACTCGAGCGGGCAGATGTCGAGGGTGCAGTTGGATTTGGGCCCAAAGGTTATGATGTAGGGCGGGAGAGGGGGCGGAGGGCCGGCCATTGTGAACGAGAGTGATGCTTGAGACGTGGTGTTCTTCTTTTGGGGGTTTAGAAGTCCTCTTCTGACGAAGTAGGAAGCAGCAGCAAAGACGAATAGTGTGAAGAGTAGTCGAGGAGAGTGAAGAGTCAGCCAGTCGGTTGGAAAGCTCTTTTTCTCTGTTCGATCTGTTTACGTGCCAGAGGGTCAAGGGGATGTCTTAAAAGTCGGATGCGTCAAGCTCGGGCCTTGGTTAATGGAATCAACAAGCAAACATTTCACCCATTTCGAGCATGGGAAGAGGCAGATGATATATATGCTTCTGCAGGGAGAGCCATTGATAGGGAGTGTTCTCATTTCGCTCTACTCGCTAAACCGTGCTACTGGGCTGGATCAGCGCAGATGGGACAGCTTCGTCACCACTAGTGACCAGATACCAAGAACATGGCTCTCGCATTCTCTTGGAGAGATCAGGAATAAGCTCGCATACCTAGCGGAGGGTAAGTGGATGGGGAAAAAGCATCTTGGCGCGGGAAGAAAACGCCCAGTCTTGCAGGTGACAGGCGCGTGAGGAAAGGCAGTGCGATTTCTCTCGCATCCGCATCGACGGGAGGGCAGAGACAAGTGTTTGAATCTTGCATCGGGCGGGTGGCTTGCCTAGGCCGCCAGGGAGGATGATGGCCGATGTGGACGGTGAGAGGGGGAAACCAAACAGGAGGCTGATTCCACACACCCTGGTTGGGTGCGCAAACGGCAAAGGCAGCTCCCAGCCTCCGTCCTTCCGTTGACTCCCTTGGATCCTCGAGCACCAGGCAAGACATTGCGCCTTCTCGAGGCCAACAACGAAAGGTGGAAGGCTTGTCTGGCTTCGATCATCGCGGCTGGCTGTTTGGTTGTCTTCGCTTAAATTAAGCGAGTGCGAGAGTGGAGACGACCACGCTAGCAAGCTAGGTACAGTAGACTACTAGTGTAACGCAGGTAGGTATTTTACTCGCCCGTCCCAGCAAGACGGATGGCAGTCCGTTTTCCGATGACGACTGGGTCGGGATAAAAGTAAGCCGTTCGGCTATAATGCAGGAGTGATAGTTTTGGGATGATGCGCGTGGCTTTCCCGGTTGGCGGTGCTGATAACGGACGTGGGATGATTCGAGGCTGCAGGGCTGGGGCGGGCGGGAGTGCTTGCATATTTTGCTGACGATGTCCCAATGGTTAAGGAGACCGGTCTGAAAGTCGACGTGTCATCGACGATGCTTGGTTGCTTTGAAGCTGCTGCTGGATTCTGGAACTGGTATGGCCGCTGGAGTTGCTGCGTGAACCTATCCTGTGCTGGCGGTCAAGCCATCACTGGGCTAACTGAGCCGCGGCCATCGGACCCCGGGGTTTCGGTGTCGGAGTCGGCGTCGGCGATCCGTTGTGTCGTTGGTTACTTAAGCTCCGATGCCTGGATGCCGAACGCCAGGGCTAGAGGAACGGTCGAATATGCTATAGAAGCCACAAAGTGTACTTGTGTCTGTCTACCTGGTATTTACACAGCCAATTTCAAAAAGCAGAAAAAAACAAAGTATTTGTCCTACCCATCGGAGAATTGTAAAAGCCTTGTCATGGCGATCCCTGATCCCTTGAAGAACCCCCTTTGCAGGGCAATTCGTTCCTTCAAACATTATCGTCCACACTGATGACTCCGATGAGGCCGTTGCCCCATTGTCCAACTGCAGATGGCCGTTTGATGGATACAATTAAGGTAGTAAGACGGATATGCAGAGTGGGACCCTCGACGCATCCATAGGGCCGAGTTCTCGGCCCATGGTCACCGCCGTCCCGGACCAACCTAAGTGGGGCCGTATCTGAAGCGGCAAAGTCCCGATGCAATAAACACACGACTTTGGCCAGACGCATCTTTCTTCTGTATCCTAGATCTCGGATACCTGCAAAGCGATGTTGATCTCGAATCGATTAAGACTGTAGCTATGCGTCTTCAAAGGCAAGAACAACATGGTCCCTTTTGCTTTTAGAGAAGTAAGAGAAGGGTGCGCTGCGTTGGTAAAATCGAGTGTGGTCTTGCCCAGGTGGAGAACAAGCAATTCTATGTTTGACCTTCACACACAAACGAAACTAGAGGTTGCGTAAAAGTCGCTGCAATATATTCGCAGAGCCTGAGTGGCCATCAAGGTCACCCGTGCTCGATACGAGGGAACTACCGTTGGCACGGATCGGACGTGGCCGAGAAAACGACTCATTAAAGGAAAGGGGGAGCAAACAACAAGCCGCTACTCGAAAAGCGAAGAATAATTCGTACACTTGACCCTTCGTCTTTGCCTGAGATTTGTCGTTGATTTCTGGCCATCGGATTGGTTTCTGCTGTACACCGGGTCGCGGCAATGTTGCCTCGGGGCGCAGTCACAGCCTTCAGGTGAGGGCTATCTTCAGGCTGACCCTATGTTGTCTTGGCAAGCATGGGTCTCAAGTCGTTTGCCAAACTGCAGCCTCGGTGAGTGGAAGGAGAATGTATTCCAAACATGTCCACTCAGGAAAGCCACCTTGCCTTGACTGAGCAATCACTCCAAGTACAAAAGGGAGAAAATCTTCGAATTACGTTGCAACCGACACAAACCACAGACATAAATCAAGTGATTGAAACAAGAGTACTTTTTTTTTTCTTTCTTTTTTTTTTTAAAAAAAAGGAGACAACATCGGCAGACCAGTTTGGTCTATTGCAACTTTTCAGGCCGGGTTGTCTGGACCGGAGGGAGTTCAATGCCCTCCCATGAGCGCCTATGCAATATCAAGAAAGTTTGTACAGCATGCTGCAAAATGCAAAATATAGTACCCGACGATGAATTCGTAATTCGAATTGCCTCCTGTACACGATGCTAGTGCGGCAGCTGTGAGACGCATGATGCGGCAGGGAAAGGTTGTCTGAAAGGATGTCTGGAATACACGATACAGACACAATCTTTCCCACCGTCGCCTCTGCGCCTCGAAGATGAAGACATGAGTATCGGTGACTGACTGGATGGAGTTGTCCAAACAACAAACAAGCGACTCTCGATCCACAATGGAAGGGCCATCTTGACCGCTCAAGCCCCGAGCCTCGCTCAGCCAGGTAGATGAAAGGTGTGCAGGCAGAATTCCATCTTTTCAAAGTCTGGTAACCGGAATGAATTCATGACCTATCAGATGGCAGCGGGAACAGCGCAAGATCCAATGCGCACCGTCGATCACCAACACCAATACGGCATGCCCACGGCACAACATCAGACGTTGCGGCAAACGCAATTGTCGATCCATGGTACGGATCTCCTCGGAACAGACCGAGAGCGACCGTGCACCGCACACCCAATGGGCCCAATGTAACCTCCTCCCTCTCATCTCCCCAGACTCTACGGATAGACGTCGCAGTAACGGCGTAACCGCGTATGACAAAAGTGGGAGAGAGATTTGCAACTTTGCATGAGGGAGCCACTGGACCCCCAACGTCGGCGACCAAAAAAAGAACAAGAAGAATATCCCCCGAAATGAAGGCCGGAACTGCGCCTTGCATCCTTGAGAAATGGGCAGTGAAAACGTACAATATAAATGAGTTCAAAACTTCCAAACTCATTCATCCATGGCCTTCCTTTTCCAGCGCCCCAAATCCCCCATGATCCATCGCATAGATGGACATTCCCCTCCCTCATCTTCGTGTTCCGCGGTGAACCTTGACCGCAGGTTTGCTGTAGCGCCCTCCTCTTCGACGTGCATAATGATGGGAAACCGAACAATTGTGCAGTTGACTTTGTCGGGGAAGCCGTTCATCCCATTGGGCGGAGCCCAGCGTTTCGTCCAAATTGAACCGGGGCCCCATCCATCCAATCACGCACACCCGTTCGTCCAAATCGTAATTTCCCGAAAGTCCCTCAAGTTGATCCGAGGGGATTTCCCACACCCATATGCATGAGGGCAGGGGGGGTGCGCGGTTAGCATAATTTTAAAAGGGCGATCAATCATCACACCCCCCTTCCCTCCTCCTTGTTCCCTGCATAGACGAGAAGAAATCTTTGGAAAAAGTCGTCTGAACTGTTGGTGGTTCGGTTCCATTCGACTGGTGCTTACGGTCCGTATTTCGTCTGTTGATGTTTCGATCGGTGTGTAGACTGTGAAGTGGTGATTTCGGAGTCGTCCGCGGTGATGATCAACGCGGAAAGCTGCGTTGAATTGCCCATTTGGAGCTTTGAAGTCCGGGGAAGATCGCTGTATGGCGGATGTCACCTCACTTGAAGAAACATCCCCCCCCTCCCGATCTTACTGTCGCCAACCACTCAGAGCAGCGAATGTCACGTTGCGGATTGGCACTTTTCGTACAGATGTTCCCCAAACACTTCGTCGTTAAAGCCAGGCCGTCCGTGACACAGCCAGTCCAGGCCCTCGCGCTCGATGTCTCAATCGCAAGGTGACTTTACTTGGCTTGTTTCCCCGGGCGTCCCCCAGATACAATTAGAAGATTAGGTACAAATGGTATTTTTTTGCCATTCCGTTAAGATACAATGTACAAAGAGAAACGAGGCTCTTTTTTACATTTCCTCTTATACTCCCCAGCAAAAGAACACCCGTTAGATTTCATCGTAAACTGCCGTAGCCTTGGTTGGCTTTTCCTCAGAAGAGTTGTCCAGGAGAAGAAGACATTTATGCGAAGACGAAGGCGGCAACACCGGCGACAGCGGCCAGCATGGCGGATCCGGTCAGACCAGCAGCACCGGCAATAACGGGAGTCTTGGTGGGGGAAACAGTGCTGATTAAGAGTTAGTTGTTTTGCTCCTTTTTCCAAAATCACAACAGGGCAGTACTCACGTTCCGTTGCCACCAATAGGGACACCAGGGATAGTCGCAGAGGGCTGGCTGGGGGCGGAGGTAGGGCAAGAGGCCTGGACAGTCTCGTAGATGACGGTGGGGATGACGGTGGTAACGCTGGTAGAGATGGTCTTGACGGTGATTCCGCTGCAGACGGAGGTAGCGCTGGTGGCCAGGGTGGCGGGGACGGAGACAGAGGGAGCAACACCACCAGTGACGGAGACGGAGGGAGCAACGCCGCCGGTGGCAGAGACGGAGGGAGCAGCGCCGGTCTCGGTGATAGACTCGCTAGGGGTGACAGCCTCGGACGGGGTAGGGACGGCGGTGATGGAGGCGCTGCCGCTGGCGGAGGGAGGAACGACGACGGGAGCGGTCTCGACGGGCTCGGCGCCGGACACGGTGACGGAGGCTTCAGCGGAGGTGGACACGGCGACGACGCTGGAGGAGACGACGGTGCTGCGGGCAGGGCAGTTCGTGACCTCGGGAGCGCAGGAGGTGATGGTGAAGTACTCGGTGGAGTAAACGGTGGAAGCGGGCTCGTCAGCGGTGGCCAAGACGGCACCAGCGACGGCGAGGACAGCAACAGCGTAACGCATTTTGAATAGAGGTATTGGGGAGGTTGTGGAAAACGAAGTTGTTTGTTGAATTAAGAGAGCGAGTGTTTTTTAAGCCAAGAGCTTTGGTAAAGAGTGGACGACCGAAGTCAAAGTTGAGTCAAAAGCGGATGCTTGAGATTGATGAGGCTTGCTTGGCTGGAGAGGGAAGAAAGAGATAGTGTGAAGCGAACGAGGAGGACGGCAGCATATTAATAGCAATGTTGGACAAGTGCGCGTCCTTCATCCAAACGGCCCCCTCTCCCCGGTCTGAGAGAGTCAGTCAGCTCCCCTCCCGTTTCCTCCGCCAGGCACTCCGCCGACGCCCAGCAGCAGCAAGTGAGAGCGAGCGGCAGTGACATGGAACGAGGCACAGAGTGGGAAATTACACAACGCCTGCTAAAATCCAGCCCCATGAACGCTAATCCAGGGGTTTGGTGGAGAGATGGGATGACAGCATTTGGACGAATTGGCCCGTAGAGACCAGGCCGAGCAACCTACCCTTGTTCTCACCCCGGCCTTTCCGCTGGGACTCTAGGCCGGGGTTAGATCCCATCTGCATAGCGCTACTTTAATGGCAGAACAGAAGGGAAAATGCCGTTGCCACCACCTTATTTGCTGGACTGCATTATGTGCTTCTGTAGCCTGTGGTAAGGAGAGAGAAGAGTTGAGAGCGCTTATTGAGGGTCGAGAACACGACAGGATAGGGTGACATTCCTTGATGGTAGCCGCTGGAGCTGTACGCCGGCTTTGACGCCTCCTTCACTTTCCTCGTTCGTGTGATCAATGAATCGAGCACCGCAATTTCGCTCTATCCTGATTGTACGATGACCACTTGCGCCAACGAAACGGATAGAGAGGTCATGAATCCATACACTTGCAGAAGAAAAGCCGCTGACGCTAGTATCAGGTGACGGATCGTGGGCGCGTGTTGAACGGCCAGCTGGGCAACTCTGATGACGGCTTTGAGCGTTTGCACACTGGCGGTGACAACAGTGAAAGTGGCTGTTCGTGGCCGGGTTCGCCAATCTCGGAACCTCTTGAGATTTGGTCAACGCTCTGTGCCTCCTCTGATCCCGAGGATCCTGGGAGGTTGGAGGCAAGGTTACCGAGCACGAGTCAATCAATCAAGGACCATGGAACAATGTTTGAAGGTGACCCAAAAAGTGGCACGTTGAATGGTGACAGGGATAAGATGTCTGATTGGGCAAGTGGGAGGTTCGGTGAGACCTTGTACGCGATACAGGTGGCCAGGGTGTGAAGTTGTGCGAGCCGATGGCCATGCTGCCGTACTCGGTACCTGAGTGACAGAGTATCTGTAGTCTCGCAGATCTACCTCCGTAGGCCGTCGTTATTTCGCTCACTCGCCTCGCCTTGCCCTGTCTTGCCGGCTGGACATAGTGGTTGTCAGTCTCCGAAATGCGTCCAGGTCAGCACGAATGAGAGTGAGACGAGATTCAGAGAGATTGGAGGAGGTTGAGAGAAGGTTTCCCTGAGGAATGCGGGAGCGAGCCCGAACACGTTGCTGTAAATGAGACTGGCTTCGTAGATAGGGAGAGAATGTTCTGTGAGGAGAGACAATCCGAAGCATTAGTCGCATAGGGGACGTTCAGAGCTAGATAGGACATTGGAGGGCGGACGAGCTGAGTGCTGAGGTAGCGAGGCCGCGCATCTAAGAAAGATGATTGGCAAGCCGCAAGACAGGCGGGTAGCGGGACGTTGAGATGAAGGACGAGCAATGTCAGCAGGATAAAGAGACGCCAACGCAGACAGCAAACGAGGAACAGGGTTCTCCGCCAAAAGAGGAGAGGAGAGAGAGAGCGAGAGAAAGAGAGAGAGAGAGACATCGTCGAGAGAGACAGGGGGCCCGATTTCCCTTGGCAAAGCCTTGTTATGCCTTGTGCCCTGTGCCTGTGCCTCGCCCCTCACCCTTTGTCGATTGACCGTTGACCCTGAACATTTTGGGAAGAAAGTCTGATAGTAAGACAGTTTGGCCAGGGGGTACGTACGGAGCAGTACCATTGCACAAATCGGGCATAACTCGAGGAAGTGGCGCAAACGTTTGGTCTCTCGAACTAATGCAGGAACAACTGCGGAAGCTGTGGACTTTTGTTTGCCAAAACAATTTCAGGTCCGACTATCCGTAGGTAATCATTGGCACGTGCTGGGCTCATCGCTGAGCGGTACGTATCCAGCTAATTGGGTACGTGCTCTTCTTCCCCGTAGTGTACGGATAGGTACCTATGTACATACTGTACAACCTGGAAGCCAGAAAGCGTAAATGATGTTCACAACTTCCCCTTTTCCGTCTTGGAGTCGTCAATCTTTTGCCATTCCTCGAACAACTCCACGGCGGCCTAATTTCCTGCTGATGGCTGTCACTCAAAAAGGAGCCACCCATCAGTGGGCCACACGTCAATTTATCCCCGTATCTTCCAAGAGGAGAAAACCGTCACCCAAAACGACCAGTGGCCACGGCCCACGGGAACATTCACACGATGTACGGAGCCGCGGGAGTCGGGGACGCCAGAGCAGAGCCAGAGCAGACAGCAGAGGACTCGAGAATCGAGACGAGGCTCGGAAAGCCTATGGGGGTTAACATTGGTTGAACAAAACCTGGTCGCAGTCCAACCGACCCTCTCTGGATCCCCAAGCCTATTTCCCCCTGTCAATCCCTGTGTCCCTCAATGAACGTCCACCATCAGCGAAATCCTCTGCGGCTTCATCCAGCGTCGTGAGATCAGCATTGTCAACACCTCAGAATCACGGACCACTGCCCGTGTGTTTCCAAGCTCAAAAAGCCAATCTCAATCTCCAATTCGTCTCCTTAGACCGCCCCGGCACTTCATGATGCCGCTCAAACCGGCTTAGCCCCGACGTCTTTTTCATTCTTGGACCAGCCACCATCGACTGACAGCCTGTATGCCACGATACCTTGGCAGTGGTGTTTAGACGCCGCCACGTCGAGAAACCGCATCGCTAGCGGTGCTTGATTCTTATTGATTGAGTGCTCGCGGGTCATTTGCTTCATACGAGTTGCTCAACGTCCTACCACGACACCGTGTAACGGTCTCTGCGATGTAGTGTGCCAGGACCCTCATCATCATTACACAAAAGAAGAGGCTCGAGTTTCGACAGTACAACGAATTGCAAATTACATGACCGGCATATCCTTGTTGATTTTCATCAGCGGTATCTCAATAGGCCCCACGAGGCAGGCCAAGGGCTTCAGCGAGCTGGCTTTCGCGCGTTTCACCACTGTGGATGCACAAGATCGTCTGATGTTCCCTCAACCGCTCTTCGATGCTGCTTCAACCTTTATGACGTCGCAAATGCCCTGCTCTATCCGTTCCTATACGGCACTGGCCGACGGTCGGCCCAAAGTGCTTGGCTATGCTCATGACATCAACGTCTACGGCTACTTTCCGCAAGAGGGCCACTAGAAACGAAGACCAGGTTCGTTTGACAGGACTCAAGGAGCAATGATAACCTTAATCAGCCGCGACTCAGTGCGGCCATTCTACGAATATCCATACATAAGGCGCCATTGCAAACCTGGGCCCCGCTCGCTAGCCCTCTCTCTCTCTCTCTCTCTCTCTCAGCAGCGGCCTCATCAGATCCGCTGCAATTTGGCCACACGACCATCGTGGCCAGTGGCTACACTGCCACACGCCAGCCGGCCATACCCTGTTTTCCCGTCATTCGACCGATCACCAGCCCAGCAGGATGGCCACTTTCCAAGAGGGGGGAACGTAATTTCCAGACAAGCGCCATGAACTCAACGGGCAATACTCTATAGCCCGCTAGAAGAGGCATCCTCCTTCGTTTTGGCGCACGAGAAATGATCTGCCCTAACCAGTCTGTCGGTGAGAGGCGTCCATTCACCTGATTGATGTCTTTTTGGCGAGCAATGGACAATGGGTTCGTGGGGTTTTGCTCACGTATCCGTACAGCAGAGATTTGTTCTTGCTGATCCTTTGCTCGTCTTGAAAAAACCTCCGATCATCTATGGACTGACGGACTGGGCCTTGCCGAGTTGAAAGAACCATGCAACTCCGCTTCAGCAGATGCTCAGCGCGACATCAACATGTAGTTCATGCGGCCAATCTTCTCGGATCTCCATACCCGTTGCCTATCACTATCCTCTCCCTTATCGGAACAAGTGCGACAGCTCAGAATCGAGATGCATCAAGTGTGCTAAAATGAGGCACGGAAGGTCCATCTCTTCTCTAGGCAAGTGGAAACGACCCAATTGTTCTCACTCCGCAGTCTACTTTCCACTAGCATCTCATCCAATACGCGACGCTGGGCTTCCTCGTGGCCCAGAGGTAAAAAGAGAGGAGCAATCCGGTCATACGAAGAGCAAATCTCGGGCAATTTTCAAAAACCCATGCCCGACCCCGCAAAATCCCAAAAAGAGTAATGCTCCCAGAACCACCTTCGTGAGGAAAGCTGTTCTACGGGCCGGGAATGTGCCAGCCGATCCTAGGCTTATACACAGTAAGCAGCATGCAGACTTCAGGGGCGCTCACGATAATACGAAGTCCAAATTTGCGACTGACTTGATGGCAAATCGTCTTACGGGTTCGCTGTTTGTTTCGACTGGCCTTACCCTATTGAATGGGGTTGCTCAAGCGACGAAGATCTTCGTTGATGTTGTTTCGTGCACGCTCCCAATCTTCTTCCTCCACAAAACCATATACTGGCAAACGTAACACCACACTTTCTCCCTTTATCTTCCCATTGGTATATATCTGCTGGAGCGCATGCAACAGGTTGCGATTTGACACCATAGGGACCGCGAGAACGTCCGACTTTACGGACAATTTAACACCACTCGCGGCCCCGGTACTCGACGCTCAGTTTGGACAGACTGCAGTTATTGTGCTCCAGCCACTAACTACCTCTTTAGTCGGATTGAACTATTGAGATAACGTGCAACCACCAGTCACTTACGATGGCTTCAAGCGAACAATACGCAAGGGGATCACGGCATGTTTTATGGTCATACGGTTCTCGATGGCACTCTGGCTCAGGTCCCGGGGCCCATTTTGTGCTACAAGGTGCTATTCGGAGTGGCAGGCTTCTCGTGGGCGATTGCCACAACGAATTCTTCATCTCAACGCCCCTTGACTCTTGCCTATCCGCACGCGTCTGGTGAGACACTGTCTATATAGGTACCTACACACAACGCCATGTCTTCTCGGCGAACCACCATGCGAGCAATCATCCCATGTCTCGGCAGGAACTAAGACAGTTCTCGGTAGTACGAACTTTGATGCCCCTTTCGTACAGGCAACGATCAGACACCCACGACGACCGAGACTCTAATCACAATCTTGCCGGAGCAGCGTTCCCAAATGGGAACACGGGGACCGACTCTAGCCTGACGAAGCCGTACAGTTGACCTTTACTTTCAGCTACTCGAGCTTTCCAAGCAGTGAGTTCCTTCACCAAGCCATCGGTCGACTTCTGATCCGACGGGTCCATAGGCTCCTCGTTGTGCCCCATCTGCAGCATCTGCGATCCCGACATGGCGACTCCAACACCAAAATCCTGCTCGTCGATCAGGGGCTTGATGCAACTCTTGACACCGTTCTCGAATATGTCCTTTGGCAACCTCGGCTCCGTACACGCAGGCCGTCCGATACCCACGCCGTCGAGCCCGGCCTGCAAGATGTCAACCATGGCGCCGACCGAGCGGACGCCGCCCGTGACATAGGTCCTGGTCTTGTTCACATGCGGCACAATCTTCTCCGCAAAGTCGAGGAAGAAGGCCTCGCGGGCCTTGGTGCTTTCCCTCTTGTGGTGCCACCCGGACTTCTCGTACGTGCCACCGCTGAGCTCGACAAAGTCGAAGCCGTGCTGCTCCAGGAGCCGGCACAGCTCCGCGGCCTCGTCGACCGTGAACCCGGACTCTTGGAACTCGACGCTGTTGATCTTGATGCCCATGACGAACCCGGGACCCGTCCGCGCGCGGATGCCGTCGGCGATGTCGGTGATGAAGCGCGCGCGATTCCGCAGCGGGCCGCCGTACGCGTCGGTCCGCTTGTTGGTCGTCTGCGAGAGGAACTGCGCCATCAGGTAGCCGTGCGCGCCGTGGAGCTGGACGCCGTCGAAGCCGGCCTTTTCTAGGTACGTGGCGCAGTGCACAAAGCCTTCTGCGAGTTTCTCGATCTCTTCCGGCGTCGCTGCGTGCGGCTTGGCGAAGTTCATGCCCCAAAAGTCCGTCACCAGCTGCACGTCCGAGGCGGAGACGGGGTTTTGTTGGATGGCGCTGACGACCTGGCGTCCCGGGTGGCTGATCTGTCCCAGGAAGAGAGAGCCCCCGGCCTTGCCCGCCGCGGCTACGCGGCGCCAAGTCTCAAAGCGCTCGTCGCCCTCGACGGGCTTGTGGTCGAGGGAGATGACTGGGTTCCCGGGTGCTTCAAGGTGCGCCGGGTCGATGAGGATGTTACCGGAGAGTAGGATCCCCCAGTTGCCGGTGCCCCAGTTGCGGTAGAGGTTCAGGAGTTCTTCGGTGGGAGCACCGCGTTTGGAAACGTCAGAGACATCCCAGGTGCACACGCGCTCCGACATGGCGCCCTTCATGAGGCGGTTGGGGGCGACGGTCGTCGAGAAGGGGAAGCTCAGCGGTTGGGCTAGAGGCGTCGGGTCGGCATCCTGTCGGCCGGGGTAACGGGTAGGCATCTTGAGGTTGTGAAAACTGACGACCTTCTCTCAATAGGTAACTGATCAGGCACAGACTCAGGAGCAGAGGTTGAATATGCCACTCGTGTCTCTAGACTCAGTAACTCTACAGTTCACTCGATCGAACGATAGCAGAGGGAACAGAAGTCTGTACATCACTTGCGAGCCAGCCCCTAGATATGGGACGACCGAACACTTGGGGAGGGGCTTCGACAGCAGCATGTGGATCCATATCTGTGGTCCCAGTCAAAGTCTATTGCGGAAAGGGTTGCGTTCATCTCGTGAATGACTTGGTCCTCTGGGGAGTACCGCTCTCGGCCAAGAGTCAGGAAATGGCGGGCTGTTACCTACACCTCCACCGGGGTTTCCTACGTTAGCACATTACCTGCCAGCAGACATTACCAAAATCAGTAGAAGCCCTGTAAAGTAACAACTTTTAAATTTATAAGTAAAATATATAATCAAGTTGGCGGGAAAGTAGTGGAAAAGCATATAAGTAAAAGGTTCGGTGTTTAGTAGAAAATATCGGCTTTCAGATTTGGAAGTACTACCTCTAAACTCAGGCGAAGAAAATAGGATTGGTACTTGCAGTGGAACCTTCCTGTCAATTTACTAAGCTAACGAATCAGACCCCGGTGGAGGTGTAGGTTCAAATGGGGCTTTGAGGAGACTGAGCAAGCTAGCTCACTGGGGCGCGCAACGCTGAAGATATGCAGGCGTACCTCGGCATTCGGAGTAGGGGCATGGACTTTGCTGTTTTTCCTTACCCCAGTCTAGGTGCCGGGCCTTGTGGAGATGGACGAAGCAAATCGTTCACAAGGAAGGCGGTGCGAGCCGCCCAGGCGGAGGGGGTTGCATACTTTTGCCATTTGCGGCGTTTGACATGTCACCGCTCTTTGGGGTCGGTTTCGACACCTACGAACTACGTGTCGTTTGGTAAGTGGAATAGTGCTTCCATGTCCATTCTCCTAAGCGACGGATGGGTTGTTGGTGTTGTGGTAATCACGCAGCGCGGATGGCTTTTTGATGTCGCCTCTGGGCAGATGCTCCGATCTCGACTTCAATCCAGTTAAGCTGATCCATCAAAGCTAGGTCGCCAGAAGATGCTGTGGTGGATTCAATGATGGATGAGCTGCCCTTGTGTACTAGGTACCACACGGCCGAGAGACTGACTACCTAGTGACTACCTCTGGCGATGGAGTCGAATGTGAGTTGACGGGAATAGCGGGGTCTGGTTCCATGTCGTTGATTTGACTGATGGCACTCGACCCCTCCTGTTCTCACCGACCCCTGCCAACCGCGGTTCATCCTAACATTGGTATGAGGGGCTCTGCTCAGCCTTTTTTCTCTTTCTCCTCTTGCCCAAATTTGTATCTGATGCTTAGAACTCCAAGTTTGTAATTGAGCGGTCTGTGTGCTTGGCCCGCGATGCGAAAGAAAAAAACAGAGGATGACGAGTTTTACAAAACGAGGAGCGTCGTTTGTTGAGTTTGAGGAATGCATTCGGGGATGCTGTACAAGTTCCAACACATGTCAGGATTCAGCAGGATGAAGGCCTTTTTTTTTTTTAACAAAAGTAAAAAACCGAAAGCCAAAAGAAGGGCTCATTCTATTCTTATACCTCAATCGACCAAGCTTTCCTGTCGCCATTGAGCTGACGGGCCGGCCATTGGGTTGATACTGATCAGTGATCGGTGTTCTCGTCAAGGGCGAGAAACCAAGTTGCCTTGAATTAAATTGTCCACGCCGAAGAGGACGCAAAAGTTTTGAACGCGGTGTTGCCTTTTTAATTTTCCCCAGCAACTCCGCTATCCAAGGCCTAGACTTTGAGGTCCGAAGAAGATTCTTGTCGGAATGGAATCTTGTTTGAAAAAAAAACCAGCCTTTACTAGATGATGTTTAGAATTTGTTAAGCTAGCAAGACTTCGCTCGACGCTGCTTTCAATAGCTTGTCGGTCCTGAGCTTTTTCAATTCGTGGCCCGTTTACGGATTGGTATCAGTTGAACCGCCGCGGCCCAGACTCACAAGACACAATGAATGGGTTTGGCTAATTTCTAAACAACACACACCCACACCGACACACGCATATACGCGTCGAAGCAGGCACTTGAAAGAGGGCCCAACGACTTCACACGCACTTGAGTCAGACAAATCAAGAGCCCACGCCCGCTTTCTCGTTTTAAAAAACTCCTTTGCCATATCCGACGCCCTGCCATGGCGATTGAGTATTGTCCTCATCACAAACAAGAAATAGTCTAGTACAGAAGAACACCAAGGTAGTCCGTTCCATTCAGCCTTGAAAGATCTGAGATAGGCTGGAGTTCATGGCTATCTATGGTGATTTGTGAACCTCAGGTAGGGGGAGTCATGTCATGTTATAGCATCTCTTCTAGTCACTCATTCTGGATAACGATTGCTTGGGTTACCAAAGTAGAAGCCCAAAGGTCAACAGTAGAAAGTCATTGTTGCAAAAGGGAAAGCTCATATGAATCACTACGGAAAAGAGAGAGAGAGAGAGAGAGAGAGAGAGAACTGTCCCACATTATTATTGCATAGTACCTATACCAACACAATGGCCTTCTTCAGCAGTACAAGATGAGGCGGATAGTGTGTGCATTCGGAACATCAGCTATACATCAAAAGGACAATGTTTTCAGGCTCAACTACCTGATCTTCAGTCATCTCCGCATATCTCATCGACGGCTCACCTTCAGAGGGGGGAAAAAGGAAGCAACCATGAAGAAAACCATCAACCACATCTTTTACTTCGACGCTGTCCACGCCAAAGAGCTCCCAAGGCTTGCCACTCTGTCCGAGGCTCATCTTCAACTACCTCGTAAGGTTCGGCAACTCAAATGGTCTCCATGAATTTGCAATACGGCTTGAAGAATCAAGGGGACAAGTCAAACCATGCCAGTTACGGGTTTTGTCAGTTCATGCGGGCAGTGATAGGATTTTATAGCACACGAGGCCAAGGTTGAACCGTCATCACAATTAGGTTCCCCACCACGCTGAAGTTGAGAGTGGGACATGGTTAGAGGAACTTGAAGGAGGGTGGGCGACAGGATCTTGGCCTCTACAAGGGTATATGCCCAATTCCCATTGGGCGAGACTCTTGAACTTCTTCCAAGCACAGAGCGGATGAGAACATGATTCTTTTTGTCATTTGTCGTTTAATCTCTAATGCCTCCCTCAAAACTCCAAGGCGATGCGGCCAGTGGATATGTTAAACAAAGAAAAATGGCCAAGATAAGAGAGGAAGAGAGAGGGAGGGAGAGATTCCTAGTTGCCTTCCTTCCCCGTAAAAGAACCCTCCCCTTCCATTCAAACGCTTTAATACGTTTCCACACATGCCAGTCCCCGTTTCATATCCCCCCTCTGCCATGCCTTAACCATTCATCTACCTACGGCTTTTCAGAAGCCCCTGCAAATAAGTCGAAAATCCTTTCCTGTCCGTTGACGTCGACATGGACCTCAAAAAGTCGGAACCATCGATGCCCAGATGTGGGAACAGAGAGGATTGGAGGTGCTGGATGAACATCTCTCCTGTCTTTAAATAAATGGCCTGCTCGAGGCCGGCGATTTCGTTGAGGACCTGCTTGCTCTGCGCGTCGTTGTGCGGCCTAAAGTTAGGGTCCTGGAAGACTTCCCAGCAGAGCGGGTGGAAGCGGTCGATCATGAAGCGGTCGAAGCCCGGAATGGTCGGGTTCGGGGAGCCGCTGGGAGCCTCGGGGTTCTCGGCGATCTTGGCGCAGTCGGGACCGCCCCAGACGACGACCATGCGCGCCAAAACACTAAAGGCCAGTCGGCTAGGCCCAATGTTCTCTGCCACGAGGGTTCTGCCCAGGGTGATGACAGAGTTGATGAGCGACTCGAAGAAACCCTGGTTGGCCTCGCTGATGAAGACGGACTGGAGTTCATTGTTCAAGATGACCAACAGGAAGGACAGATACTCCCTTCGCAACTCCCCGAGCTGAATCTCGTCGTCTGTGCCAGTGACTGGTTCGGAAAGACCGGCAAAGATTCTCTGCAGCAAGGGGGTGAGCAGCATGTTCAAGACATTATAAATCTCCGTTTTGAAGCCGAAGACAATCTGATCAAGGAGTCGTAGGAAAATTGCCATCTCGTCCTTGGAGGAGCTTTGGGACAGGAACCCTTCGATCCACTGAGGAAGCTGTGGCAGCACAGCGGATCCCAGGACGCCTAGCAACTTGGAGAAGGATGCTCGGCAAGCAGTGCGAATGTCGGTCGAGCTATTCAACTCGCTGAGGGCAATCAAGATGGCTTCGGCGGCTCTCGAGAACTCATCAGACACAAGCTTGTCCGGAGGAGGTCGGTTCTGGACCGAGGTGCTGCCCGGCTGCCAGTCCGAGAATCCATGGGCAAGGCGACCAAGGGCCAAGATGATGTGATGTATTTGGAGAATGGCCTGGGCATCGTTTGCCTTTGCCTTTGGCAGATGGGATTCCATATCACTGAATAAAGGATTCAACACGAGACGGGCATAATACGCCTGTTTGTCTGCTGGCGTGTTTCCAGTCGACGCAATGCAACCGATGGCCTCAAACAAGTAAAGCTGGCTTGTGAACAAGGCATCGGCAGAGTGATCAGACTCGTCTGATGACATGTCATCGTCTCCATTGCTCTCCGAGACCTCAGCTTTGATGGGGAGGAGGTCACTTATGGATTGGATGACAGTTTCTGCAACATTACCGACCTGGGCCCTGAGGAATTTGACAAATCTCTGGAAAAGATACCAGGACCGTGTCTTGATGCGCACGTGGTCGTGGTGTACCAGCCGCACAAAGTTCTCCAGGACCTGGGGAATGTATTCTTGCCGGGCATCAAATACTTGCCAGTACCGGACACAGATCTCCATGTACTGGAGCAGTATCGCGGGGTGGGGGAAGCTGGCAATTCCTGTAAAAGTCAGACATTGACTTGGTAAGGAAGAGGGAGGTCACATACCGGACTCAACCATCTTGGTCACCATGATGGTTAGTCGTTCTGTTGCTGTGCTTGAGGGCTGGCTCTTGGTGCCCAGCCCTTGGTTAGGCAGCGCGAGTTCGCCAAACAAGTACATCTCATGAAGCGCAAGATCAAGATCTCTCCAGTCCATTTGAGACCCTCGCTGGTCAAGAGTTGTGAAAGTCTGGGACACGAGGTTACTGAGAACATCGATGTAAAGCTCTTGGTCTACAGCTGCAACGGTCTTTTGAAGAACTTGCAGTCGCTTCCGTAGCTCCTGGAACTCAGCCTCATCCGTTTGCTCATCTTCGTCACCCCAGTTCGAGGTCTCGTCGTAGCGCATCTTCATAATGATGGCGTTAAGGATAGGCGGAAGCATCTCTTTGTAAGAGGCAGGCAGGCTGGCGCCGACCTTTCGTAGGAGCGTAAGGAGGTCGGTCAAAGAGGGGATGACTGTCGAGCAAACCTCGTCGTACTCGTCAGAGAAGAATCGAAGAAGGAAAGGGAGGAAATTGTGAAGATGCTGTTCGGACTTGGCTCGGGTGTCTTCGCTGGCCTGGCCGTCCTCCAGAGCGCGCACAATGTCGGCCATGACGGTGTTGACGAGCTTTGCGACAGCCTCAGCGAGATCAGTGTCATACTGGGGGGTGGACTTGAGCTCGCTAAGAGGGGCGCTGGCAATGAGCTGGGCCACGATATCGCGCAGGTTGAGGAAGGAAATCAGTTCCATCTTCTCGGGTCCCCTCATTTTCTTGCCCACAATTTCGGTGAGAGTGTCGATGGCCGCGTCCCGAACCTTGTCCTCGCTGCCAGAGTGATTTGTCCGTCCGACAACGGGGAGCAAAAGGTTGAGCATCTCTTGATTCACAATCAAGGAGATGTCCATCCAGCTGATCCATTTGCCAATGACCTTGAGGATCATCTCGACAATGACATCGTTCTGGCCGGAATACTGCGCCAGCAAGTCCTTCCATGATTGAGCAATCTTCTGGACGTCACGTTCTCGCAGCTGATCCTTCAGGTCGGTATTGCGCTTCGCATCGTTGCTGTTGCGCGTCAACAGCATATCGGCAATCTCGTCGTGGACAGAGCCAATGATTCGCAGGTAGAGAACGACACCGGCCGTGTTATTGGGGCTGCTGGCAATGGCGAGAAAGTCGTCGATGAATGACTCCCAGCCATCGTTGTAGAGAAAGACAAAGAGGTAGGTCAGAGTCTGCGACAGCTTGTTCTGCAGGTGGGAGGGGTCGACCTGGTCTTGCAGGTTCTGGCCGTAGATGTTGCGGACGTATTCGAGGAGATTGTCCTTTAGCCACGAGAGGCTGTTCCGATCGAGGCCTTGGGTATAAATCGCATAATTAACAACTTCCAAGCAGAAGAGGCGGACAACTTCGGAAGGCCGCTGTGATCTAGTGAAGAGGGTAGTGCAGACCTGCCAGCCTTGGGGGTCGGCTCGCAGCTGGCTCAGGTAGTCGAAGGCTTGTTGCTTGAGGTTTTGGTCGCTGGAGACGTTGAACGCCGCCTCGACGGCGTTCTCAATCTGAGCGACAAGTGGGGTCAGCTCTGGTTCATGTACGACGAGTTCCATTCTCCTATTGGACTGGTCATCGCGAAAGCCTCCATTTTCATGGCAGGCTGGGTCGACGAAGGCCGAGGGCGGTCAAACCATGCTGGCAGCAGCGTTGGCGGGAGGGAGGAGGGGTGATGACGGATATCGGAATGGCGGGGCAAGGCCGACAGCTTGGAGCAGCCCAAGCCCAACCAGAAGCCGCACGGTAAATCTCAACAGTGGGCTGCAAACGTACCTGAGCGTCCATATTCAAGAGGGTGTTTGCCCCGAAAGAGATAGTGGGTTGTAGGAAAGGATCAAGAGACGTTTAATGCGGGAAAACGAGAAGACGACTAGTTATTTTTCGGTATCGAAATGCTGCTATAATTCTGGCAGCCCTCCAAGCTGTGCATTCAGCATTCTTGCTTGGCGTAAAAGCGGCGACGTGGTAGCTACCGAGGACTCATGGCCCGGTTCGGATCGACAGGAAATAGGTAATAAGGTAGGCAGACCGAAGGAGACAGCGGATGTCGGGTTGGTTAGGACTCGGGAGAATGTACACGCGAGGAGTACTTTGGTTGGAGACGAGGGGGGGGGTTGCCGAGGTGAGGCTGAGATGCAATCTAGGCGAAGCGAGGCGTGTACTCGAAGCGATTATCGGTCGGCCTCTGTCTGCAGAAGCGGTCGGTGAGGGGAGCGAGTTAGGGAGCGAGAGAATGGGTGAGGGAAAAGAGAGTGGTGCAAGGCTGAGGGGATATCACAGCACCGCAGATAGAAAGACTCGGCGGTGGCAGGTGGTGTCTGTCTGTCCGTATCCGTGTCGGTGGGCTCTTTTTTTTTTTTTTTTTTTTTGTTCTTCCTTCTCCCCTTCCCTCGCTCACCCAAGTAGGTAGGTCCCCCTGGCTCTGTTTCTCCTGCTTGCCAATTCCAATCCCAATAATCGGTCGCTGTGGACTCTCTCAGTCTCGTGCACAAGTGGGGTCATTTCTTGGTCTGTGGGCATCTGGACAGCTGGACAGCAGTGAACAGTCTGATGGATGCCTGTCGGCCAGACTGTACAATGTAGATGAGAAGCTAATTTCAATAAGGGGCCAAGCAAGCACAACAAACACATCCCACCTCACCTCGCTCACTCCCATCCACTGGGCGGTTGACCTCCCTGCACAGCAGTGCAAGGAAGCGCCGAGTTTCTTTGCGGCATCCAATGTCTTCTTCCATTTCCACTGGCAAACCAAGGAGCGGGGTTCCTGGTCTGCCGTCCCTCTCTACCCTTTCTTGTCTCCTGCGCGACCAATACGCTACTACAGTGTATTACTTAGGTCAACCATCGGCCAAGTCACCGTTTAACCTGGGCGGCATTTGCTGTGTGTGATTATTGATACAGAATCTTAGCCCTTCTGGTGATCAGCTGTACCACCCATGGAAAGATCCAGAAGCCAACATCTCACTGCAGACCCGCATCCGCCACTATTCTCCCACTGCCCCTCGCCCCTCACCCCTCATTTTGACCAATTCCACAGTGTGCGCTGCCCAGCTTGGGTGATCCAGGTCAGCCCTATCTTTCAAATATACCTACGCTAACAATCCATGCGGCCCCTGTTTGGCCTTTGGATTCCCCAGGGCAGGTCAGGTTGCCTCAGAAACATGCATGCGACCCAAGGATTTTGAACATCAATTTCTCTACACGGCTTGTGAACAAAGAGCTGCTCTAAAGCACGGCCGAATATCAACTTCTTTTCAACTTGGCAACCTCCAGATTCTAGCGCCAGTACAATAAACCTACGAACAGTCACGTAGGACCCTGCAGCAATCGCTCGCTTTGATATCAGATGAAACTACTGTTTACCTTCTAGAAGGTCCATTACATGTACGAGAGACGCGTTCCAATACGCTCGCCCAGTAAGAAGAACGATGGCCAAACGCCCGCCGAAATTTTGAGACAGATAAAAACATAGCACAGTAATTAAGCCCACCCAGAGTGCCACAGCTGGGGGGGAAACGTCCGTCCTCCATACAGATGGAGAAAATCATGTTTACAAAAAGGGAAGCAAGACCGGGGCTCTCACAAGAGAGTGGAAACTCAGCAAACCCGGACGCCGCAAACCTCGACACCTTTGCCCTCAATATAGGGTTTTCGGTCGTAGTACTTGCTCATGAGTTCCTTGATAAACTCCGCATCTTGCGAATTCCACACGTCAAGACCCATGCTCTCGAGTGCATCGCTGCCAACTCGTACCGAGCTTCGATCCGACTCACTATTGGTCCTCAGAGGCACATCATCGGCGTCGTCTTCATCATCCTCGTCTTCGTAGCGGTCGTCCGAACTCTCCACCAGGTCAGCCATGACCGTCAGCATTTGCGCTGTCAATCGGTGGAAGTAGGCAATGACGGCGAGCTCCGTCGTTGCTTCGTTGTCATCGGGACCAACGGCTGGCCGAGAGACAACGGACCCAATCGAGTCAGCCATGCCGCCGGATACCGATGAACGGGGTCTCGCAACGGGTTTCGACATGCTTGGGGTGTGGGGCGTCAGACCCAGGTCCGCCAGCAACGCCGCATCATGGGCTGCCTCCTCCTGCTCCTCGCTTCGCGCTTGTTCACCGGCGCTCGCCCACCACATGAACCCGCTGTATGCCAAGGCCGTCCAACTTGATGGCTCAACAATCTTGTCCAGAGCTTCGTCGCCCTCAATACTCGAAACTGGGAAGGCGCCAGTAGTCAGTTTGAAACTCGTCGAAGTCTCTGACCGGGGGCTTTCAGCCGTCATCGGTTTTGATGTCGTGGGTGTTATCCTAGCCAGGCCAGCCTTCAGGGCACGGAACCGCCTCAAATCGCGCTGTGTCGCTTTGATGGGCGTACCGCGGGGGCATTCCACAGTTGGCCAGACCTTTTCCTTGGCGTTGGGAGCATACGGTGGCGGCATGGTGATAAGCATGTCCCACAGTGTATCTTTCATGGCTAGGATGCTGTCGGTCGTGCAAGCAACCCATCCCGAGCCAGCCTCGTCCACCATGTCGTTGTTGCTGTCGACTTTCCGGCGCTTCGAGGCCTCAAAATCTTCCATCAAAAAGGGAATGTCGTGAACTCCGATTGTGAAGAGCGGCCTAAGACGTTGAGAGGACGATGTCGGAGCCAATAACTCGGCCACTGTCTGGGGGATATTTGAAAGAACAGAAATATTGTATACTTGATCGGACGTCAGTGGGGGCTCCAGTATGAATTCAGGGCCAACGCACCAAAGTTGCAAATCTCGCGCACCGGCGCATGGCATGATATCAATATGCGCCTCCTCAGCAAAGCTGCCCTGTGAATAGGGAATATGAGCGGTCCGAAGGTGTCCAACAACGTTGTCAGATCCCAGGCCGGGTGATATGGGGACAGTCGATGCCCGCTTGGCAGTAAGGAAGCTCCATCTGATGCGGATCGACTGCGATTATGGTTCGACTTTTTTGGTTGTGCGGCTTGGGAGCTGAAACTGATAGAAGGGGAATCTATCGGGGGTCGTTCTTGTTCAGCTCCTTCTTTGGCCTTGTTGCTCTCCCAGTAATCATCAAGGAGGCTAGTATTCTTGCGATCTTTGGCTAATTTCCTGGCACATCGTTAGCCACAAGGACCTTCCTTGGTCTTGCACATGTGCACTTACGATGCAATGTCCTTCAAACCTTCAGCATGTCTCCAGGCGCGACCCAGGCGGCCGTAGCTGAGGGGCACGAGGACGCCAACGGCAATCATGCGGGCATGTCGGGCCTCCTCCTCGTCACACGGGGTGTTGATGAAAGCGCTGAGACCGGCATGTTCTCCCTCGTGCACAAAGTATATCAAGTCGTCGGGGACAGTGTGCAGACCAGAAGGCAAGCTCTTGTATTCGACGAGGCCCTCGAGTTCGATTCCGGGAGCTGATTGTTTCCAAACAATGGTATAACCAGCCTTGACGTCAAAGTCGATGAGAAAGAGGGCGGATATGGGAGGGAGTTCGGGTTGCGCATTGCCCGTCGGCAAGCGAACGGAGAGGGGGGGTGGTCCTCGGCGAGAGGGCATGGTCAGAATCGCAGCGGCTCAAGGTCACTGTGCGGCAGCAAGAAGATGCGCCAGTGGCCAAGGCGCTGTTCGTTTCGGCACTGGCTGTGGGGTTTCTTCGTCTATGTTATCTCGGCAGACGACAGGCGGCAAGTTCAAAGATGGCTCCGTGGTAACGTGCGATATGGTTGACGAATGTCGTGCGATCAAGGTTACGAACTCGTCGCCGTCGGGCGACAGGTAGCGACGCAGAGCCTAGACAGATCCCAGGCGGACGCCCCGGGTAAAGATGTTAGTCAGCATCTTGACCTCAGTCGGTTATCGATAAGAACCCCTGGTATTTCGACATGCACGGGTGCCCTGGCTTGGCGGCTTGAACCGTCGCCCACTTTACCTTACCTCAGCCATTGGGTAGTTATCTTACCTGAGGTAAGGTACGGATACCTAAGCCATTGAGAGCATTGATGGCAGGGGCAAGCAAGTCCAGAGAAAGGCTGTGGTATTTGAAAAGACATTTCAAGCGCTCAATGCCAGCCTCAACCTGGTCAGGAATACCTACCTGAGGTAAGGTGAGCAAGGTACGTGCGGTAGGATGGAGGGGCTCCGAGACAGAAGCAGGCGGGTTGAATCCGAATCTGAATCCGAATCACTGGGGAAGAGTGCTGGCCTGACTCCTACCACATGCTTTTTTAGGCAGCACGAAGCCGTAAATTGACGGCGAAGAGGCAGGAGGGGAACATTCTTGGCCCCACCTCCACATGCCTTTTGACGTCAGGGAGACGGAAGACGGAAGACGGAAGACGGAAGACGCAGGAGACAGCGACAGACAGACTACCTTAACGTAGTAACTAGTTGGAGCACCTCCAGGTATGCCCTCAAAACTTGTCTTGGTGCCACTGCAACGCTGTACTGGTGTCCCTTGTATCCCGTCTGACCTCGTCTTCTTCCCCAACCATTTCAAGCTACCGGCCCGGCTTCTAAGCGGCGTTTACCCTTGGAAGCTACTAATGTACCTCCTGATTGTGGTGCGTAGGACAAAGTATTCGTCTCAAGATCTGATGTGTGTTTCTCCCCGCCCTCTCTATCTCTCTCTCTCATCAGGTGTCCCGCTGGTCCGCCCTTCCCCGTCAGCACATGGTGGACGTTAGACGGGACAGTGACATGTGCTAGCGGCCTACCAACAAGAGATGAAGGATAATCAGGTCTAGCGCCCACAACGGTCTGCCCCCAACCGCACTTGGTCGCTGCATCCCTCGCCTGATGATGGCTGGCCTAAAGCCTTACCATACCTTGATGTTGACTGAGGTGGCTTCAAGACTATCACTTTATGTATGTATCTCTGTACCTCACGGCAGTAGGTACCGTGGCGGAAGGCAGATAGTTGCCCTGCTGCGACACGCGGTGATCAGCATCGTCGGCAAGCCGCAACCCGCAAGGGACCGTTTGACTTTATGGGTCGACGACATGGACCAATCCAATCACCGACGCTTTCCGAATCCCAACGACCAGAGTCTCCGGAGGGGCATCTTCCCCAGGACAGCCAAATGCCATCCCACCAAAAAATATTTCTCTGGGACACGAGCCGACAAGGAACCCCACACCTTTCCTTGAGGCACCTCACCGTGCTACAAGCTCCCTCGACCCTGCAAAGTGCGGCCGGCCATGCTGATGCCCCCCGTCGCCGTCACAACTCGCAACCCATGACCACAGTCACCACAGCCACCACACTCGCTTGATTGACGGTTGACCAGGGCCCTTCCTCTCGGCCTCTCTTTCTCTCCCCCGCCAATCCAAGAGCTTGCGGTGTGCAGCGCTGCAGTTGCCAGTCCCGCCACTTGGCATTGGCGCTTCCCGTTTCCACTTCTCGTACTTCTGTCGCAAGCTGACTGACTGACTGACTGACTGACATCCATGACTTCTTCTTGCTGCTCCGCGCCCACATTTTCCGATTCCCTTACATCGTCACTGCGAGTCGACTCTAGTCTCTCTTAACCTCCCCTCTGAGCACTCTCCCTTCTCTGAGACACGCATTCATACGTTGTGCTCCCATCCACCCCCCTGGAACATGTGTCTTCGGAAGCTGTAGCCTTGGCCTCTCTTTCTTCCTTCTTCTCCGTCTCTTTTCCCAGCATCAGTACTGCGGCCTGCCATCGTCCCCGAGACAGAAACATAAGTCGTTTTGCCGCGCACTTGTGACGATCCTCCGTTCCACGGCCTCAACCCCGCCTTCAAAGCTCCCTCTCAACACATCTGCTCCCCGAGGCGCCCCCCAAAGAAGCTTAACGCACGCCAGTCCGATTCTCATCTCCTCCAAGCTTCCGCGCGCCTGTCTCCTTTTGCGCCCCTCTGCCGCCGTCCCTATCAGCCACGCACCCACCACCGCCAGCAATCATGTCGGCTTTTCTAGGCTACATATACTCTTTCTTCAAGGGTTATGCCGCCCTCGTCGTCGCCCTCTACATGCTGTCCTACGTCGTCCCCAAGGCCGCATTTGGCGCGCGTGTCCTCGCCTCGTACATCTCCCTCGCCGTAGCTGCCGGCTGGGGTGTCTTTGCCTCAATCTTCTTGAAGCTCATCGGCGAGCAGGGCATTGCACAATGGATGACCGGCCGATTCTTGTACTACATCATGGCCGTCACCACGGGCGTCACCTTTGAGGTCGTCGACCCCAAGCACATTCTCGAAAACACCCGCCCGGCCGTCTTTGTCGGCAACCATCAGACCGAGCTCGACGTCCTGATGCTGGGTACCATGTTCCCCAAGTACTGCAGCGTCACCGCCAAGGCCTCGCTCAAGAAGACGCCCATTCTCGGCTGGTTCATGACCCTGAGCGGCTCCATCTTCATCGACCGCAAGAACACCAAGGATGCCAAAGATGCCATGGCCGGCGCTGCTGAGCAGATTCGGAAGAGGAACCAGAGCGTCTACATGTTCCCCGAAGGCACCCGGAGCTACGCCAAAGACCCTGTGCTGCTGCCGTTCAAAAAGGGCGCCTTTCACCTTGCTGTTCAGGCCGGTGTTCCCATCGTGCCTTGCGTTGTCGCCAACTACAGCCACGTCCTCTACCTCAAGGGACTCGTTTTCAACTCTGGAAGAATTCCCGTCAAGGGTAAGTGCTCGGCCGTCCAGGAATCCTGCGCCAAATCTATGCTAACGTGAAGTCGCGCAGTGTTGGACCCTATCCCCACGACTGGCCTGACCGCTGCCGATGTCGACGAGCTCGCCCGCAAGACCCGAGACCTAATGTTGGAGGAGCTCGTCAGCCTGACCGAAAAGGCCCAGGGCAGGCCCATGAAGGTTGCCCATCACGACCCTTCCGCGAAGACGACTGGAACCGATGCCACGGATACCGTCTCGGCTCTTTGAACGCCTGATGCTTCTCGTAGGCCGGGAGCCTTGGGACCAAGACATGCAATGTTGGATGGGAACCTTCCCTGGTCAAGGGCGGGCATCTCCCAATAAACACAAAAAACTCGTACAAAGAGAAGACGGGTCAGATGGCAACATCTCCATCGTAGAGGCTTCAAACAGCAAGTCGACATGGTATACGGGTAGGGTAGGTAGATTCGGGTGGGGGGCAAGTCTTGATACCCTATAGACCGAAAACACTTGCATTTCTCTCCTTGCTTGATCGGCAGCCCACGGGCTTTGGGAACCTAGACATTCGGCATGACATGTAGATGAGATACGGCGTGCAGGCAGCATTTTGTTCAATGATATTTAACATTCAACTCATGAATAAGTCTCCGTATTGACGCCCTCGGCAGATTTACAGCGTTCTGTTGGATTGATAATGACTGGCGTAGCGCTCGCGCATGCAAAAAGATGAGGCAAAAGTAAGTGGGCGGGCGATCCGAAGCGTTCTCCGCAAGACCACTCCCTTCCCTCAGTGACATTACGGCTATGAAGATGGTCTTTATGCAAGGTCCAGCATCGGCAGACACCCAGCCAGCTAATGAAAGCTTACGGATACGGAAGGTTGGCTACTACTCTTCTTCCTTTCGTCAGTAGTGAGAAAAACATCCTGGGAAAGGAATACCGTCCTTTATTCCTTGCTATCTCTGTTGAGCCGTACATGTCTGCTTCCCCCCCCACCCCCCACCCCCCCCCCCCCTCCCATCGTAGACATGATTTTTGATATCTGCAAACCATCCATTATCAGATCGCCTGTGCCTCCTAACAATCAAATACAATATCTCTCAGCAGCCTGGGGGATGCTGATTTCGCTTCCGCCGTCAGCCGCCAACGTGCACTTCGCCTGTAATTGAACGAGGGGGAGGATGGATCCACACCGTGACAAAATACACAGATGGATCAGTCCTAGTCTCGCCACTCCTTTCATGATGCTGTTGGAATGATAAGTCATGTCCAAGGGAAGAAAGTCTGGCAACCTAGCTTTGTCACCGCCACCACATCGCACCCGCGCTTCTCTTCTGCCTCCGCCAGAAGAGAACAAACCCCCTAATTCTCCCCTCCCCCTCCCCACTAGCAGCTATGTCTCTGCCCATTCAACCAAGAGGGCCCCCTTTTCTGTGAGAATCAAAAGATGTATTTCCATCAGGACAATCCAAAACGCCCCAAGCTATGCTACAAGACTCTAACCTTTCTCCCTGCGAGATCTCGATAGAAAACCTCTCTTTACGGATATTTACCTTCCTGTATCTCACAATTTATTGTACTCTCTGTTCGACAAGGCCCAGTCCTCATCACCGACGGAAGAAAACCCCCTATCCTCTCTCCCCTAGTCCATCTTCCCATCTTCCCTATACCTCTCAGCATACTCCCCCTCCTCGCCCTCCCCATCCTCATACTCCTCCGCCTCCTCATACTCCCCATCCTCATCATCGATGACAGCCTCCTCATTATCCTCATTCTCCAACAAAGTTTCCCCCTCCGCATCCGTAGTCTCATCCTCGATATCCGTATTCCCAGAAATAAGTAGACTCCTAAGATCATCCTCGCTGAGAATTGTCTCAATACTACCCCTCCGGATCCAAGGCCTCGTCTCCCGCCTCCCTTGCTCAATCAACCTCTCAATCTTGAGCCGGTTGCCGACAAACTTGAGGATAGGGTATCCGCGCTGCTGGCCCTCGTGTATCATGCGCGCCAGCCGCGGTGGGTCCGGGTCCGAGAGGATGTGCACGAAGTCTGAAGGCACCGTCTTGGGCCACACGGTGATGGTCCCGCTAAACGTCTGCAAGAAAAGCTGCGACCAGTCCTGACCCAGAGGCCGGGGCAGCAGCTCGGCGTGGCGGATGAATTTCAGCCATTTCGTCATGTCCAGCTTGAGGTAGTGCTCCACCGCCGACATGACGTACCCCCCGCGCCAGCCTTTGCCCTTGCGGTGAGTGACGGGGTGCCCGACGGACCCTCGCGAGGAGAAGAAGAAGAGGTTGATGTGCGGGTTGACCTGGCTGACAATGGTAAAGTTGACGTTGAAGTGTAGGTTGAGGGCCTTGATGGGAATGTCGGTCCGTAGGCTGCCGTCCTTCCACTTGTGGCCAAAAGAGTAGGGCACCAGCGTCCCATCGCGCTGCTTCATCATCAGCACGACCGGGTTGAGGATGCCCGGAACGGCAGCGGACGCCAGGACGGCGGACCAGATGACGCAGTCCGGGCTGGTGAGGTAGTTGCACAGGATAGTGGGCGAGTGCGGGTCGGCGGGCACGCAGGAGACATTCAGAATGCGGCCCGTCCGCTCGTACGCCTCCCGGAAGGTCATCGAACCTCTTGTCCACCAGCTGCACTGCTTGGCCCAGTCGACCGAGTCGAAGCGGGCGCCAGTCCTCCACCACCGCGGGATCCACGTCCAGAACGTCTCGCGGCACGCGGTGATGCGGTGCGCGAGCGCCGGCACGAGGAGCTGCCTCAGCTCGTCGTCCGTCCGTGTCGCCACGAGGGCCGCGACCAATGCGCCTCCGCTGGTGCCGGTGATGACGTCCGGGAGCAGGTCCGCTTCGAGGAGGGCCTTGATGACGCCGAAGTGGTAGTAGGCAAAGGACGCGCCGCCCGAGAGGCAGAGGGCCGTCCGTCCGTAATTGGCGTGCATACCCTTGAAGATGGAACGCTTCTCCTCCATCGACAACTGCTTCGTGCTCAGGATAAACTTGATGCTCCTCTCGACTGGACACAGTTAGCCAAACCCATTTCAAACTTACACTACGACACGGTCCCAGACACATACCTTCATCAATAAAGTTCTGCACCAGGTTCTTCGTGCCATAGTACGTCTGACTATACAGCCTGGGGTTCTCAACGCCCACAAAATTGCTCTTCACGCACGCCGAAAGCAGCGCATGAAGCTCCTCGACAGCAGGCTTTCCCGACGGCTTCTCCTGCGCCCCCTCGTCGTCCGTCTCCCCGTTCTCCACCGTCTCGGCCCTCTGCCTGCATTTGCGCATCTGGTCCCACACCCTCTTGACCGTCTTGGAGTCGTAGTACGCGAAATCGTTCTCCTCCTTCCACCGCTGCCGGTCGAGGTAGCTGTCCAGCTCCTTGGCCGCGACAACCCAGTCGCGGTAGTTGTTGGTCCGGCGCATGCTCCGCCGCAGCCTCTCCCTCGTGCCGCGCCACGTCACAAAGTGCTCGTACACCCAGATATACAGCCGTGTATATAGATACGTGAGCGCGAGCCCCGCGAGCCAGGCGCCAACGAAAAAGAGCATCGGCCACTTGAGCAGGGCGTAAAAGATGCCCTCGCGCGTCTCGTCCTTCGTCCTCGTGCCCAGGAGCGCCTCGGCCGCCCCCTTGGCCCGGTTCCTCCGCCTTCTCGACCCTCTCTTTGATATTTTTTGATTCACAGGCGCCCAGTCGTTCTGCGCCGTGATGAACATGTTGGACTGCGTTGCCGAGCCATGGTGGTAAGCGCCGCCACCATTGGTGTAGGTATGATTCAGCAGCCCCGGACCCGGAGCCGTGACGTCGCCGGCAGCAGCAGCGGCCGCTGCGGCGACGGCTGATGGATCCTCCCTGTCATCATCGTAGACGGAGCCTCGCTTCGTGACGTCGAGTGAGCTGTGGCTCCGCAGGCCGGGGGACCGTAGGGATGTTGTCTCGTCGGGGGATTGTAACGGGTCGGGCGCCTGGAGGGCCTGTATGAAGGCGGCGAGGTCAGCGTCGCTGAGGAACTTTGTGTTGAACTCGGGCAGGCCGTCGGTGCTGAAATTCTCGGGCGGGAAGCCGTAAATGTCTGTGTTGCTGCCGGTGCCGGTGCCGCTGGGCGATGAGCCAAAGGAGACTCTGGGTTGGTGCTCAGCCATGTCTACGGGCTGCGTCGTTTGACGAGTCTAGGCGCATGATATGGCAGTAGCAACACCTGAAGGGTGAAGAAAGGGCGAGACAGTCAAGATGTGAAGTTACTCGGGAGAAAAGGACGTGTGAGAGACGAGGATGAATACTGACGCGCCCAGAGGAAAGGGATGGGTGCTCTTTCCGAAATGAAGACAAAGTTCCACTAGGGGCGGGTATATACGAAGTACTTTGAGTGAACTTGGTTGCGTGAGTAAACCTAATGTAAGTAACAGGTAGGGAAGTAGTAATCTGCAGATGGACGGGTGATTACAGGGCATTTGTTGGGGAAGATTTAGAGATGCCTCGGGGTGGTGGTGGTCTGTCACTCTCGGCCGGGGGAGGCTTCTCGTTCGAGATGCGCAGACCTCCCTAGGGAATGCGCGCCCGTGATGCCACGGGGTCGGATGACGTCGGCAGTAGCTCGAATTGGATTTCGTTGGGACCTCGGGCGCCTGGGGCGAGGGACATCTCAGGGAAGGCGAGGTGGTGAATGGCCGCCCGCTGCCGGTTGGTCACCAACCGCTACGGCTAACGAACCGCGAGGTGGCAGGGGGGGCCAGTCCCCTCCTCCGTCACTTTCTTCGCTTTCTTCAGTGGATGTTGTACCTGATTGAGGCACTCTAGCGGGATGCAGTGCGAGGAAGGCCACCTTAGTTTGCACCACAGGCAGCCCAGGCCGACTAACACGAACGACCCGTCGTCTGTATGCTGGAGCGAAGCATAATGCCAACATGATATAGATGACAAGCTCAAGCATCACCCTATCTGAAGGAGAAATGTCAAAAAGAGGCAAGTTCTTGTCCACTCGACGGCACCATGAAACACAACCCCCAAAAGGCCGCCACCCAATCCCTACTTTCCCTATCCGGTCCCGTCTCCCCCTCTGTAGAATAGCACCTTACCACGCCTCCGTCAAGATTCAATGTACCCATCAACGGCTGGAGGAGCTGAATGGGAGGGCGGTGGCCTCTGGTGTCGGTACCTTACCTGATCCAAAGTAGGGTGACATGCGGTGATTTACTTATACCTTACTCAAAATACTGATTCATCGAGACGTCAGCGAAATAGAGACCAAAAATCTTGGTAATACACAACCGGCGAAAAGTGTTTGCTACTATCCAGAGAAACCAATGTGGCTTGTGAAATGCTAAATTGCCACACATCTCATTCTCTCCACTGTCTGACGTATGTCCATCATCGCGTTTCCCGCCCCTGACCAACCAAACTTTCACGACTTTGACACGGTGGCCTCGGTCACCATCACCCCCAAGGACAACGCTAGGAAAATCCCAGACCCTAACTGTTTTCTATACGGATGGCAGTATTGACGTACCATCGGGTTACGCATCTCGTCTTTGAAACCCCGCAATACTCCAATTTTGCGTGTCCACGTTCAAGTCGATTTTGATGTCAATGTGGTTGATGCAAAAAGAACTACGCAGAGCAGGCTAATGATTGAAAAGACGCAAATAACCAGATTCCGAATCCCTGAGCCCAATGAGTATTCTAGCCTAACAAGCGTACAAACTGCCTCGTCTCTGGCTATAGCTGGATGCCCGACTGAACAGTACTGACCGAGCAGAGCAACCTGGGCCAAAAGAGGACATTTCCTCCTCCATGTGAACAGATGCAAGATGCCCAATAGCAGCAGGTCAGCCTATTACGCACTCCTCTACCCGTGTTCCCCGAGGATATTGGGCCCAAACGCCCCAAAAGGGATCTTGTTGCCTCCCTCGAGCACTTGACCGGAGCTATCGTAGACGTGGCACCATGATTTCGTTCCTGCGTGGACGTTCCCCATTGCCATTCTTGCCAGATCACCCATGTGCTACTCCATTTCTGCCGTAAGCATCCCCCGCGAGCTCCTTCCAGAGCTTTCGGTCCATGCTTAGACGTACTGCGAGAGCCACCGGATACCGTCACCGTATCCTGTCTTGCGTTAGCTGACTGACCCGAACCGGCCTATCATGTCCCAGAAAGCAAACGCACCTTGTCTGAGGACAACAGAGCACATGAAGACCTCGATGGGTCGGATTCCCTCCAAAGGCACCTTGCCCTTACCAGTCGTCTGGTACATGCCGAGCTGGTGACGGAGCTCCTCCTCCGAGATGGCGTCGGGGTGGTCAATCTTGTTGCCGAGGATGACAAAGGGCACCTTAGCCAGCTCCTCCATGGACAGGAGGGCGTCGAGCTCGGCCTTGGCCTCAGGGAATCGCTCGTGGTCCTTGGCGTCGACGAGGAAGACGATGCCGTTGACTTCGGGGAAGTAGTCCTTCCACAGGCGGCGGGCCTGCTGGTGACCGCCGAGATCGAAGGTGGTGAAGCGCACGTTGCCGATGGCAAGCTCCTCGGAAGCTGGGTGAGGGTGTCAGCTTCTGGACACGTGCGCAGAGCTCATGTCACTGGCTCCATGTTGCGGAAGGGATATACTCACTAGGATGGAGGGTAGGCTGGAGAATAGCGACACGGTCGTTCTGATAAACACGTTGATTAGCAGCTGTTACTCCCATCAATATCGCGGCCCAAGAATTCCCCATATCAGCGCATCCGACCTCCGGTGGGCTCATGGTATCGACATGGTGCGGCTGGCGGGTGTCGGGCGGATCGTACCTTCAGCATGTGCAGCAAGGTGGTCTTGCCGGCATTGTCGAGGCCGAGGAAGAGAAGCTTGGCATGCTTGTTGAGCAAGCCGAGGCTTGAGAGGACGTTGTAGACTATAGAAAGAGAGAACACCAGTCAGTCCGTCATCGTTCAACTAGGGATGGATGATTGGCCACAAGCTGCGGCGGCAACAGCGGCGGCGCACAGCAGATTTGCCCCGTTGGAGGAGGGGGATCGGGCAAACGCAACGGATAGGAAAATAGTAGAATACATACACCAATCAATAATCCACATCTTGACGACGAAGGCGCGAGATTATTGTCTGTATTGTGAGGGTGGTTCGTGGATGACGGTGGAGTCGGTAGGATGAGGTCGGGGAGGTTTCGTCGTTCGGGCTTTTGCTCCCAGGAGACAAGGCGACTGCGTGTAGAGAGGTACCAAGGTCTGGACTGGACGGGACGGGACTGGCTGAGCTGGGGGCTGCCAGAATAGGTACGCTGGCAGGGGAGGTGAGTGAGGTGGTGCGTGGTGCGTGCTGGCTGGCGCAGTTGCTGTTGCGAATTGCAGTGTGTTGAGGTGGGAGTGCCTTAGATCTGGGGCCGCCATGTATCGGAGATGCTCCACAGCTGCACCACTGCTGTCAACTGCAGCGTGGGAAGCACAACAAGGAATTTCAAAGTATAGGTGCGCAAGTCTAGGGTTGCGTCAGAGCGAACCTCACTGTCGACTCCCTTGGGAAGAGACTCACCAGAATAAAAGCGAGGTAACAGTATCAGGTGGATGAAGCGCAGTTTTGGCGTTGACGGTTTTGAGGCCCAAGGTGCCGTGGATACGTGCAAGAGTCTCCTGGCTTTATTCTGGGTAGCCTAAAGAGGGGGGGCAAGGACACCTTGCCATGGCAATTCTGACCCTTATGCTCTCCCGCCATGAATCACCAGCACGTTACCATCTCGGTTTGAATCAAATCATGGAGGCTGCTTTCTGTCAAGTCAACGCCCAACCATCAAAGGTGCCACGTGACCAAGGAACAAATGTTGGAGGTCTGCGATATCTCGCAGGAATGCAGTTGTTGATCAGGCTACCTAATGCTATGTGTTTGCTCGACAACCATACAAGCCTTCATACACGCTATTCCAGGGGGTATTCGTGCTCCAAGTCCAGATGCCGCTGGACTCCCAAAATGATGAAGAATAGAAAATGAAGCGAAAGTCCATGTACGGAGCCCTTGTCCATCCGAGGACAATCCGTTGTTAAGGGGAAAAAAAGTATGTACAATCCAAAAGACGTGAAGATAGTCTCATATATATCATGAAGCCCACCATGCCATGCACCATCCGATGCTAAACGCCTTGCGAGCCGACTGTTGGTCTCGCTGTAAATGCAAATCAAAGACTCCGCCCAATGTAAGTTGTAAGTGTATATCCACCTTTAAACAGAGAGGACGTAGTTGCCCTGGTCGATCTTGCCGGCCATGAGCAAGCCCAGCTCCCTCATACGCTCGCAGCCGAGGCCGCGCTGGGGTTTGCGCTCCGGTACTTGTCCCTTGCGAGCGCGGTTGCAGTACTTTTGGTAAAACTTTTCCTTGCGACGCTGCCGCTTGCGTTCCAAGCCCTTGACAATGTCAATCGCGCCGCGAATGTGAAGATCATTGGCGGGGGCCTTGGGGCGACGTCCCTTGACCATGTGGGGGAACATGGATGGCGGGCGAGGAAGAGACTTGGTAACGGTGAGACCAGGGCGAGAGGCCAAGGTCTTGAAAGTAATAGCGCCGTGGCCATTGCGAGGAGAAGCGGGAGGAGACCTCACCATTTGAGGAGCCGGGGACCTCAGGCGACGGGGTGAAGGACCGTCAAAGAGGCGGCGAGGGGAGCGGCCACGAGCCTTGGGGGCCGGAGAGACACGGCGCTTGATGGGCGGGGGAGAGTGGAAGCGCTTGGGAGGAGTGTGTTCAGGCTTCTTCTGGCGACGGCTTCGGTCGTTCTTGTGGTGCAAATCCTCCATCTTTCCGTGGAAGAACATCTCGTCATCACTGCTGTGGTGAACGGGGTTGTAGATCTCTTCCTCGCCCTCATCCTCAGGGTCAGATGCAGGGAAGCTCGGATCAATGTCCTGAGGGATCAGCTGAAGCTTCTCGCGTCTGCGGGCGGCGAGGCAAGACATGTAGGCATCTTCCATTGGCCTGTCCTCATCAAGAGTGCCACAGACGAAGTCGGTGCTGTCTGGAAGCTCGGGCGTGCCAGGACGGATCTTGATACGCTGGGCCCGGCCACGACGAGCTCGGAGACTGCTGTGAGAGGCGATGGACGAGTCCGAAAGCTGTTCAGGTAGGGACGGTCTGCGGGCGATGGGAGTGCTGTCAATGTTCTGGCTGGTAGAGCGACCTGGGGTCCACAAGCGGAGGTCGTCGTCTTCCTCCTCCTCCTCTTCAGAATCAGCGAATCCAGTTTCCTCATCTGTCTTATAACCGTCAGAGTTGTCATCCTCGTCAGAAGCATCGTCCTCGTCATCCTCCTCATCCTCATCCTGTCCCTCATCTTCATCATCATCGGCGTCATCCAGGTTGTCGAGGTCCTCATCATCGTCAATGGCGGTTGCCAATTCTGCCTCCTCTTCCTCTGCCTCCTCTTCAGCCTCAGTAGCTAGCTTACGGATTGCGTTCTCCTTCTGAAGAGTGTCGTTGATGGTTATGCGACGTCCTTGGGAGGAAAAGGCCTGACGGATCCAGTCATCCTCGCGGGGAATGTCGCTGGCGAACTCGTGGAACTGAGAAGACTCGTTGCTCAAGTCGGCGGGGTTGGCGGTAATGTACTTTTTCGTGGTAGGGGACTTGACAACAACGTCAACATGGGGAGGAGCAAGCGTGGGCCTGGGGGATCGGGAACGCGTCTTGCGAGTTGTTGCAGGGACAGGTGCTTGCAGTCTTGCGGCGGCCATCTCCATTCGCTGGGGAGGGGTGTTCTGCGTAGACGCGGGGCGTTGAGGGATGGGGCACGCGAACTTGATGCAAGACCTTCGCTGAGGCTCCTGGGCCGAAGGCGCCTTCACCATGGGCTGGCTCCGGATAGGCTCAACAGGATTGTTGGGCTTTGCAGCGCAGGCAAACTGGATGCAGCGCTTCTTGGGCGCCTCCTTGGCGGGCTCGTCATTAATGTTCAGAAGACGCATTTCGGGCAGGGGAGGGCTGGGAGTGTTGGCGCGGGACGGGCTGGTCAAGCCAGTATCGCTCGTCAGGTCGGCGGTAGAGGCCAGGCTGATATTGCTGGCCATGGAGCGACGGCGGGCGAAGAAGGACATACCCGGGCGGGCTTCGGGGTCCTCATCTTCGGAAGGGCTGTGAAGCGCCTTGGTCAACAGAGAGGCGTTGTGGTCGAGGGTGTTGCGTCGGATTGGGTTCCGCTTGAACATACTGGCCATGGGAGAGACGGGCAACTGCGTTTCCGGAGGCTCATCGACGTCAGCGGACTCGTCTTCTACCGTGGAGGGCATGTTTGCGCATTGTGTGGACCAGGCCAGGACGTTTGACGTCGCGGCGTCGTGTGTTGTGCGGTGCGTCATGGTGGAGTGGTGATGATGTTGGTCGAGGTTGGGTGCAGGGGTGATTTTCGGGCGCTCGGCTCGAGGCGTGGCGAATGGTTGCTAATTCCAGGCCAATCGATCAACGATGCTTCTAGCAGGCGCAACCGGTCGAAGGTCGACTTCGTAAGAGCTGTTGGTAGTAATAGCAGTAATAGTAACGAGGCTCCTTGCGAGAAGCGGCTCTAGTAGTTGGTGTTGTTCAGTTGTGTGGATAGGTTGATGAGAGGGGTTGCCCTCAAGAGGACGTGCAGCTGAAGATCGTCTCGAAAGACAACTGCTGCAGATCAAGTCGTGTCCCTAGGGACCGTTGTGCTATAAGAATAAAACTGACATCTCGAGGAAAACAGCGTGATGTGTAGTGATAGTTGCCGGGCAGATGGGGGAGATTATAGGATGACCGGGCGTTGCCTCAATGTGAGGCGCGGTAGTGCGTTGATTCAGGGTCCTCGGGGGTACAAGAATAACTATATCGACGTGCGCAGATCCTGGATGAAAAGGGCGAGCGTGAATGCGGCCGTGGGCGTGGGCACAAGGATTGGTGTGTGCGCTGGGCGAGCAGATGACGTCGGGCCTAGCGTGGCGCAGGGAAATGGCGAAAAGAGACGGAAAGGATGGGAGAGTGAGGGAAGGGAGAGGGAGAGAGACTCAGAGAGACTCAGAGAGGGACAGAGGTGGAAAGGCAATGGGTGAGAGGCCGCTGGGATAGACGGCCGGACAGAGAGGAACTTTAACAGGTTCCGGGAATATTCTTGGCAGTTGGAGGACCAAGGCGGGAAGAAATTCAGGATTTTCAGAGGCTGAGGGCTCGAGCGCTCTTCTCCTTGCCGATGTGTACGGAGTACGGAGAACTGATAGCTAAAGCAGTCGAGTATTGAGCTGGGGGAGACCTGACCAGTTGCTGGGGGCTGTTGGAATCCAGGAGACAACCTGGGAGGAAAGGCGACCAAATAGTAGGTGGCGACGGGTAGAGGCCGCGACTAGAGGAGGTCAGTTGGCCAGTTTTGTCAAGGGCGGGCAAAACCCTTTACCGCCTTGTTGGTGCTGCCGTTGCCGCGGGAGGTGTACTGAGTAGTCGGATGGGGGTAGAGCGGAACGGTGAGGTGGTGTGTGTGTAGGGAGGTATTTGTCTGTGGTGCTAGCGTGTGTGGTGTGTGTGGTGTGAGTGGTGTGAGTGGTGTGGTGTGGGTGCTTCTCGTTTGCCAGAAGACGGCAGAGAAAAGATGCGGTGCAGCTGTAGTCAGCCCAGCACGCGACGTAAACGGCGGGAGTTTTCGTAGCAAGCAGGAGGTCGGGAGAAGTGTCTGACTGAGAGGGGAAGAAGTGGGCGTAAGGTGACTGATTGATTGACTGGTTGTTGATTGAGAGACAGAGCGGAGCGAGAGAGGGTATCCGTAAGTGGGCGCGCGCACGCAGTACGGAGTATGCGTATGGCGTATGCAGCTCAGTATGAGGTAAGAGTGGGTTGTCCACGGGTGCGTGGGATATTTGTCGCCAGGAGAGCCGAGAGTCGTCTTCTGTGGTAGAATTGCTCGTCAATGCGTATCCGTACTCTCTTTCCGCGTCGTCCTGGATGAATTGGATTGGTGGTTGCAGTTGATGGTGGTGGTTTTCGGGGTCAGGTGGGCGAATGGGCCGGGGTGATCACTGATGGGTGGCCGGAGAGTCTGATGAGAGAAACACTGGCAGGGTAAGTTGCGATTGGCGTGTGTAGTCTAAGGTGGTTTTTCGGGGTCTTTGTGTGTGCGTGTGCGTGTGCGTGGGCTTCTGCAGTAAGAATACTCCGTGGGCAGGGAACACGACGGGAGGCTTCCTGCGAAAAGGGAGGCAAGACGCGGGGTGGCTGCCAAGCGGTGTATGTGAGGCAGTGGCAGCGGCAAGCAAAAAGAAAGCAGGTGGGATATCCGTAGATGTACCAAGGCCAAGACCAAAGGGAAAAGGCGGAAGAAGCGCCAAAAAGGCAAAAGGGAGAAACACCACAAGGGTATGAGATTGGGATGTTGCTTTTTCGCTGGGCTTGGCGAGATCAAAGTAAGATGTTTGAAGATTCTGGCAGAGCGAGCTGCTGCGCTGTTGCAGGCTGCGGACCGCGGACGGTGCTGGTGGCAGGTGCTTGGCAAAAGCACAGGATAAGCAGCAGCGATAGCAGCAGCAATAGCAGCAGCAGACAACGAATTCACTGCAAATGCAAATCGCATCCAGTGCAGGGGGGCCAGCGCGCGTAGGGTTTTATTGCGATGCGTCTTTTTTTATTCCCTCAGCTCAAGTCTCGCAAGTGGAAAGTAACTTGTGCCTCTGTCCCATTCCCAGCCCGGCCCTGCCCTTATTTTCACTTTGCAGTGTGCACTTAGAAGAGAGGGAAAAAAAAAAAAAAAAAAAGGCCATCAGCATCTGGGTAATTTTGGCAATTGTTTTTCCCCCGACTATCCAGTCGTGGTTTGGTCCGCTCGTGAGTCGGGGCCCCATTGCATTCCCTGCTCTACGCCCCTGTGTAAGGAGTATGATTGGTCCCAACTCTTTTTTATTTTATTTTTCAATTCCGCAAATTTTCCATGGCGCTCGGTCCAGTCTCCCCTTGGAAAATTTCCCTCGTCGACTTTCCGTGGGGATCCCGCCCTTCTTCGAGAATTTTTTTTTCCTTTGACTGCGTGCTTCTCCCGAGACCCGTATGCCTCCGGGGGTGGCATGGACTGAGTTGTCAGTTGTCGATGGGTTGGACCCAGAAAAAAAAAAAACACCGCTAGTCCGGGGACACGCCTGTCTTTCAGGGCTCGCAGGGGGCCCCCCCCATCCTTCTATCCACCGTCGGAGTGAAAGAAGCGCAGGATTTGGGAAGACCCGAAGAGACCAAGACGGGGCCAGCTCCATCAACAGGCCAACAGGCCAACACCAGCGCGGGAGATGGGAGACGGATCGGAGTAGCGGGCGCCACACAGTGTGCAATGACTGCGTCGAGAACCTTTACCATTGTAGAAGGAGTGATTTGGTTGGAAACGCCCAGGGGACGCACGGCTGGAGCGACCTCTCGACATGCGCCGGTGTTGCGGGAATCTGCGGCACTTTCTCGCCTTGCCTCGGGTACCGCGCCAAGCACGCTCAAGCTTCGCGCCGAAAACGGAGCTAGCCGGGTGGGGCCCGGAGACCTCAGACGAAAAGAATTCCTCACTGTAGAAGACAACTGCGTGATTGGCCAGGAATTCTGCGACGAATAACCGTCAAACACCCGAGGGCCCCCATCCGTTCAGGTACGTATCCAACATCCCCAGTTCTCAACCCACGCTGAGCTGCCTGCCCCTGCTCCTCGAGTCCTTCTCAGCCCCTGTCCATCGACATTCAATCGGCACAGCTCTCCATCGCTGGTGGGTGACCAATGACCATTACTGGCCTCACCAGTGGCTGTATCTGTCGTCAAATATCCACACTCACTCAAATCACACACAAACTCTTTCGTTCGCTCTCTCCCTCTCTCTCTCTTCTCGAGGCAAATAGAGGAGCACTTGCGACAGTCGAAGCTGGGCCCTGGCCCTGGCCCTGGCAACCTGGCAAGGTCCAAGGAAGGGAACGAAGCTAGCCCAGGTCGGCTTCTTTGCTAGGACCGACGAGGAAGAGGAAGGCAAAGGAAGAAACGGATCCCGCACGCCATCTCGCATCTGCAATTCCCTAATTGCCCAGGCCGGGTCTGACCTACCCTTCTACGGATACCCACCCCACCCTCCCTTGCCCGGGCTCATCTCATCAAAAGTGACATGCGTCTGCCATAATCTCTTTGTATGACACGCAGGTCACCGCTGGTTCACCTGGGTCTCGGGAGCTAATTCTTCTTCTCTCCAGTCCCCCTCGTCCCCCTCGTCCGGGTCTCCAAATGTCGACACCGTCAAATCACCGACTGACCACCCACTCCGCACAGTCACGGTCATTATCCGTCCTCTCAGAGCCCACACCCCCTCGGGCTTTTTTCTCGACGCCTAGAGAGCCGCCTTGAGTTGCAGATGCAGCTGTCCTGTCCTCGTGAGGTCCTCGTGAGGCAGCCGTCGATTTTCCTTGGCCCATTTCCCACAAGTCTCATCCCATTCCTGTGTTGAGAATCCCACGCTCCGACTCGTCAATCTCCAGCTCAGACTTTCACCTCGACACATTCTCTGCCCAGCCTCCGTTCGTTATGCCCTGACCTACCCTGCCCTGCGTCCAGTCAAGTTACTCCAGAGTCCAGACCCCCCAAAGTACCTAAACAAAACCATCCGTCGTTTGTTTCTCTGTCTCTCTAACACACACACACACTCTCTCTCTCTCTCTCTTTCTCCGCTCTGCTCTATTCCCGGAATGCCGTTGTGTCAATATTACACTACTGTTGACCCGTTCTTACCGGGGAAGAAATGCCATCAACAACATGCAACCCCAAACGCAGTGCCTTGACTCAATGTCAAAATCCCCCCCCGTATACCCGTACGAGCCACCCATTGGTTTGCGTCGAAGCAGTCCATCAAAATGAGACATTTACCTCCTTTCCCCAGCGCTCAGTCCGACTGCAAAGGCTAGCCATCCTCGTCTCACATCTTCAGGTACACCCGCTACCCGCGACCTGCCCCCCTTGGCTTGCACTGCGTTTTCCGTCTCCTCTCGAGCACTTTGGAAAATTGAGAGGGATATACCTTCAAATAACGTCGGGGGAACGCATTTGGAACCTTAGCATCCTCGATTGCTCCTTGTCACATACAGGCAATCCGTCGCGAACATCAGACGGAACTGGGGCCCTCGATACTGGGTACAGGATCGTTGGGCCGTCTCCGATTTCAATGTAGCTCAGGCAGCTGAGGCAGCTCAGCCCTTTAGGTCTATCTCCATGCAGCCAATGTGCGTTGCCAATGGCATTTACGGACACCAGCCAGGAAACCAAAAATACGGTGGCGCGCCCGTTGTTGTTCGTTGCGCACCATTTAGAGTGTCCTAGTGCCGGCCGCGACCATCAACACCACAGGAGCCGG